TTTAAAACTTCTTCAACGTTCGCAGATGCGCCGTTGACTGCTTTCCGACGCCTTCCAACTTTCGCGATGTAAATGTTGATTGCAGCTCAAGACAGTGGCGGTGGCGGCGGAGAATGAATCAGCGCCTCGGACATGCTTGGCTGTCTCCGTCGCGTGCCGAAGCAAATAAGTACAACATTTTCAGAGTCATTCTTGAAAGTTTTTCTTTCTCTCAACTCTCGACGATACATACATTCTTTCGTTTACTTGTTTACACTCTAGTGATATCGTTCAACAACAGTGTTGCAACGGTGCCATCAGAGCCCATTCGAGCCTCTGAACCTGAGTATTAAAAATCGTTTATTTTTATGCAATGTGAACTCCCTCTCTCTCTCTATTCGATTAAACAATGGGACTTGCTTGGAATTCTCGGTGCATTGATCTTTTCCACGTTCACCACTTGTTTCCGGGTCTCGCGCGGAAAAGTGCTGTCCTTACCTGATGCAAATCAGCTTTCCTGAGTTATCAACTAATGCAGCTTCTCGTATATGCAATGTACGAGCGCAATTGCTTCTGACGACAAAGTATTTTTGATCTCTTTAAATTTTTATTCTCAGCAGAGATTTCGTGCCACTTTTTATTCTTTGATGTCACCGAGCGCTGAAACTAAAAGGTCGAAAGAGCTTTTATTCGCTTGGCCACTCGACGCAGCTGGCTTATGAAATTCGATTTTCTCGCGTGGCTATTGGCAAAGTGCTCTTGACCTTCCATTTCTTTCCGATATCCGAAATTCGTACAGACGCAACGTTACGCAATACGTTATTTATCGCGGATAGCCATACTTCTGGGAAACGCAGTACGCAATTTGATTTTCATTAACTCCAAGGGCTTGACGGAGTTTTAACTCGAGCTCGTAGATATGTAAATCAATTTTAAAAATAACTCCTCTCGCAGTGGCGCACGCCGAGGGAGAGAACGAAAGGTACGACCGCTCGCTGCTCGAGCGGCTACGGCTGTGCTACTTCTCTACACCGGTGACTCATCGAAGCGCAGCGTTCCTCGTTTGCCTGAGAAATTATAATTTGTGTTTCTCTCTCTATTTTGGCGTTGCGCGCTACTTTGGCTGTCCAGGCGCCGCGTAGAAGAGACGTTCATTTTTTGCTGGCCTTTTTCGCAAATCTTTGTTTCGTGCTCTCCGCCGCGTATAGGCTTTTATAGTCGTCGTCGTCCTTGAACGTTCGCGTATATTTCAGAGTGGAAAACGAGTTATCGCGAGCTCTCTCGATATTCATTCGCCGTATAATGCTGGCCGACCTCAAGTTGCAAAGTGGGCCTCCCTTTGTCAAGCGAGAGCTTACGCTATAGTCCCGCCGTCTAATTAATAATGCCTGTTTCTCGAGAGCATTTGCGCGACTAATTGTGCAATATTGGTAGACTGAATGTTTAATGCACGTCAATCAACGCTCGGAGCCTCGCGTAATTACAATACGGGCGTCGCAGCCGCGGCAAATCGATCGCATTAATTGTTCAGATGCAATCTATTTACTGAACACATAATGAAATATTGAACGTGTGTCGTTCCCCCTACGCTCCGAGCCGTCGATAGATCTGTTTCTGGCGCGCGCCACAAAGCAACGTAAGTGGGAACTCTCCGACCTTAAGAAATAAGTAAGCTCGACGCGTGCCGCGTCGGTCAGCTCACGCGTCAATCGACTCGCGCGCTCGCTGCACTCGGTACATTTCAGCGTGACGCGAGCAAAGCACTGCTTCTTTATAACGGTGGAAAAGGGAGGCAAGAAGCGGCTGGAACAACGTTATTTGCGGTTTCAGTCGGAAGCTGTTTTGCGACTGTAGCGTTCGATAGTCGATCCAACGTTCATTTGCATGCATAGTTCGCTGAGCAAATAGATTTTCTTGCCCCAAGAGGATAAGGGGACAGCTCTTGGTAGCAAATAGGCTACTTTTATCATAGTTTCTAGTTACGTCTCAATGCGCGAGTGAACGTACCTGCGGCCTTGATATCTTCATTTAATAGCCGTCAGCGTAAAGTTGATGAAACAGTGGTACAAACGTGGCTCGCGTGCTAATCGTATTGAGCGCGCGTCGGTGGATCAGTTCGATGAAAACAACTGATCTAGTAGATCCTTTCAAATAGCCAAAGATAACGTAACTGTCCCAAGTGCCACTTCCCAAGTCCCAAGTCACATTTGCCACGAAAGAGCCTGCTGAAACTTTCTGACTGGAAAGCTTTCCGCGCGCCGCGAGCTTGCTTGTCGCGAAGCGAGCGAGCGAGCGAGTCACCGTCAAAGTTGAACGACCGTGGGAACGAGAGCGAGGTGAGCGATCTGTTCCCCTCTCGCGCGCTTTTGAAGCGACCATTCGCGAACGGTGCCTCCTACCGATGGAAGATTGCGCAACATTGCAATGGCCGCGCTGCCTGGCAACCGCTCCCGGGGCTTCTCCGATCCATCGGACAGTGGATCTTGGTTGCAAGTGCTCGTGGTACATTTGCCGGGACGAACAGAGCATTGCCAAGCATCAATTACGCGCAATTATCTACTTGATTTCTCGTATTATTTTCTTCCTTCCTATATTGTATTTTCGTACGTCATCTAATAATAATTTTTCTCTTAAAACTTCAAACTAGTCGGATCACTTTATCAATGATTTCTGATATATGCTAATAAACGTTGCGAGGCTGCATCATGGGCTGATCAATTAGAGATTAGAAATCTGCTGCTATTCTTACTTTTGGCTCGACATAAACTATTTAGGATCACAAATTATGAAGCGTTGTACTATCACCAATAAACGAACCGAAAGGGAACTCTAAAAGCTCCAGACACTTGATCTAGTGAATCAGTTGGTCACAATGCAATACAGTTTACATTAACTAATATTTATTTTCAAACAGTGTTAACATGAATTTTATAAAGTATTTTATATGAATTAAAAATTAAGAGAACGCAAATATTTGTGCAATTCACTGCGACCACCTCACTAAAGTTTTAAGACCTAATAATATCCAAATAGCACACTCTAAAACTGCGAAAATTTGTTGCGATTTCCCTCTAATAATTTGTTCAAAGAAAAGATAGTTGACACTCAAAAAACACTTAGCATTGTGTAGAAACGATTCAGAATGGAAAATAATGATATTCATATTTTTTCGCTTTATTGCTTATTCACGTGATGATAAATAATGTACAGCTGATGATGAAATAAAAAGATTTACTAAATCAGTTATATGTCACCCAAATATTAAATAAAAATTTCTCTAAATTTCTTGATTCAAAATATATTTGTGTAATATTTATAATAATGTTCGTTGTCATGGTATTTATTAGTTCTTTTAAAAAACTGTGGTGTTATTAAATAATAATGCAAATTGTCCAAATAACTCTTCAATTTTTCATGTTTTTTCATTGGTAATATTGTTGTACTGGGGAAATTTTTTTCGCAATTCGCTAATTTCATTCTCGGGATAATTAACCTCGTACGCTTTGTTGGCACTATCAGCGGTTCTCCTGGCTGTATTGCAACGAATATTTTCTTATCAACAGCAGTCATATTTACCTGTTCAATCCATGTCATGTATAATTATATTAAGCTTTACTCAAACATGCCATTAAAATTTTGCAAATAATTTTCGCTTATTATTCTTTCTACATATGACGGAGTTACTAAGACAAATATTTCTATTCAAATGAAAAGGTAACCGACAATGAACATTATCGGTACGGCTGTCTATAAAAATTTATAAATTATATTTGCAAACATATTTGAAAACTTTGAGAATCGATTTAAGCCATAAATTGGAAATACATCTGTAAAATTGAGGTACCAATTTTACACGTTCATAATGTTGGTTTTTGCTGATATTTTCTAACTCTCCAGAATCCAAAGAAATTTGATCATTTTGCTTTACTTCTTTCTTCTTCAAGTCTTTATCTAGGCCAAGTAACTCTGCTAATCGATTTTTCACATCCAATGCTTTTTTACGTTCCATTTCAATATTGTAATCTTTTAGGTTAAAATTTTCATATCTGTATGAGAAAGTTGTATTCATATAAGAAAGATGTAGATGCTAATATTTGCGTCGTGTACTAACGTTTGTATTCCGCGGCTTCTCTTTGTATTGTATTGATGAATCGACTCATTTTCTAGATCGCTTTGATAGATTTGTGATGAATTTTCAACAATGCGACCTTGTGAATTTCCCATTTTTATTTTTTAATCACTATCATTCAGATAATCAATCAAACCCATAATGAACATTATGGTATACGAATTATTATTGGAAAGTTTTATTGATTATGAAGAATTCATTTATATTTTGTGTTTCTTGAATATCAATTGTCTTTGTTTATTGCAATTCGGCTTATTTCAGTGATGATTTATTACCTCAGCGACTATGTTAAAATTCTATTTTACGATGCATCGTTCCGTTTATGTTACACCAAAGATATAATTCCTCGAAAATTTCAATTTTGTTTTCACAACAATGATCTAGTTAAATTACAAATATTTTACGATTTCCTTCAACTTTATATCGTATTATCGAAGTAAAGAAAGCCTCGCGTAAAGATACCTTAATAAGATACCAGTTAATATCTTCGCAAGCTTCTCTCTCTCTCTCTCTCTCTCTCTCTCTCTCTCTCTCTCTCTCTCTCTCTCTCTCTCTCTCTCTCTCAATTAATTAAAAGATTAATTTTGATTTTAAGAACAAAAATTTTAATGTGTGTGTTACCTAGTTTTGTTACTTAAATTAATTTTTGTGTTTTTCATTTTGAAGAAAAAAAAACATTACAAAAGTAAACAATTACATTATTAATAAATAGTAAATATGTGTGTATCTATTCTTTATTCAAATATAAACACATGAATAATGTTTCTCAATAAGTTATATTGAATTACAAGTAACAACTTGCTCAACATTTATAAATTATAAAGTAATACAGCTGACAACATCCTTTCTGTAATAAATATGTATTCACCCTATTTAACTGATTGTGAGATAATTTCTATGAGTAGACAAACGCATACGTATCTTGTGCACAAAAAAACACAAAAAATTTTTAAAAAATTACAGAAAAATAACATCATTTTGTTTGCCATTGCTGTGTTGAATCGCGATACTAATTTTACGAAAAGGCTTTATCGAAGGACAACTCTTGAATATAAATAATTAAGTGTCGATTGATGAAAAACAATTCACATAACCTATTAATGATTATTAAAAAATACGTATCATGTAACTACAAACATTAATTAGTTAACTAGAAACGTTATAAAGATTTATTTCTGAAAAGCTTATTCAGTATCATCCAATAAATACCAGTGCAATGCACGCATAAAAAAATATTTCCAATGAACGCAAAATTAATTCAAAAGTAAATGTTTCATTTACGCTAAAATATCTGTCAAAAGAAAGCATGTATAGCAACAAAATGCATTATTTTAAAACAAAAGAAAAATAAACATTTTATCTGCACAATCTCGTAACAAATTGAATATCAATGTATGCATTTTCTTATAATTGCACTCATTGACTTTTTGGTGTAAAGTAAAGATCCCTTATCAGCATTGATGTAACAGTGGGAACCTGTTTTTGATCATTGAGCGTGGGGTCATATTCATGACAACTTGCGTAATGTATCGCGACTTTCCGTGCAGTCATTGTCAACATTTTGACGAGATCTGTTGTTGCTGCATACTGGTCAAGAATATCACATAAACTTTGCACGTACCACGTGCCCATTAATGGATCTCTCCACGAGTAGAATCCTAAAATTAAAAAATGAATTGATTATAAAAGTATAGAGGTATTTTTTCGGTTAAAATAGTCAGTAATTAACAGTACTTGCATTTACTGTTTATGATAGCTATTTATTGACATTAGATTTACCTGGTGCAGTACTGTGTGCAAATAAAAAGTCGGCATGGCTTGGTATTTTATAAGAGTCACTGCCGTACGAGAAAGAGTCTGTCTCTGTCCTTGATATTCCTGTCCCAAACAGTTGAACTCCACTATCGAGATTATCTCCTCGACAAGCCTATTCACGTATATAGGTATTTTAGATTGAATTTTACAACATAACTAACATTACATATTTTTCATTTAACTGACCTGAAAGAAGAATAGCTTTGGCTTGCCAGCAAGGGTTCTACATCTGTCAGCAGTAAAAGGCTTCCAAATGCTCTCACTCTTGTAGAGTGCGTCTTTTGCTGAGATCATATCATACCCCATTCCATGGGTCAACAAAAAAATGCACAAACAATCGTTGTCGGTGTGATCTTCTCCACTCACTGTAAAAGTAAACGTAGTGATAAATATTTCATTTAAACGAACTATTGATAATACTGTCTAAAATAGACTAACATTCATTAATTTTGTTTGTGATGGCTGAGAGCTCATAGTCATCGCAAATCTCGACAGTAAATCCAAGCCTCTGGAAAGTTTCTTCAATGCGCTGAGCGTCACAAGTCGATCCACGACGAGAAGCATATCCAGTGGTGAAGTTCTCGTGGTTAAAAATTACACACTTTCCTCTGTTTTTATGTTGCATATTATAAATTTCAGAGTCTCTGTGTACTGTCATGCGTGCAGAGGCTGATATAGAAAGACTGCAACAAATGAATGAATATTTAATTTTAACTCTAATGAATTGAATTTTCGAAAAAATGAACGTTAGATTTTTAATCATATACCTATTAGCATCCTCAACTACTTCTAATTTTCCAGATAGTGAAAATATTGAACTACATAACAAAAGCAATTTCAGTGTTACTTGTTATTGAAAATATAAATGAAATGAGTTCACTAAAAAACTGTTTTTCAATGTACCTAGGCAACTGAGCGATGGATGTATCCAGTTGTGAATTTGGAGATGATACTGGCTGACTATACAGCCATTCCGGGGTACATGTTTGTGTTTTGCTCATCTCAGGAGTACCTCCATAGCCTTGGTCAGGCGACACCTGTAAACGGACATAACAATTATTATTCTCCTATTCATTATATAATGAAGGACGCTTGGGTAAGTTTTGTTTATCTAAATAATTTTTTTATTGCGGTAATCAGCAAATTGTTTTCATTAGCAAGACAGTTATATAATAAATTCTCTAAGTCAATAAATGATAAGATGGCGTGTATTTTCAGAGAAAATCAAGAAAATGAAGAAGCGATAAACCGTGGGTCGACAGTGGGTTGGCCTTTGGGGCGTGACAATGCCAATCGACGACGACGACGGAGTGGAGGGGCCGCCGATGCCGCTGAAAGCAATGTTGGATGTGGAAGCCGCCGGCAAGAATAGCGGCGACTCGCCCATACTGTCGATCACATCGCTTGTTCGCCTCTGCCTCTTGCCTGGTGTACGATGGCCAGGGTACTGTCGTTCTCTATCACAAGACATCTGAAAAGAGGAGACTCAGTGTCGGAAGTACTGATTGATTCAAATATTACAGCTGAGTACGAATGTGTTATAGAGCATGAATAAAACATAAATAAAACTGGCAGAGAGCGAACGTTTTTGAAGCTGCGCTTCTTATTGTAACAGAAAGCTTGAGTTACTAAAGTAATTTCGAAAACAAAATAATAACTTGTAACTCGATTCATAATTTTCGAAGTAATAACGTAAATAGAACTAACAATGCTTTGATATTACTAAACAAATTCAAAGAACGTGCAATCATTAAACAGTTATTTAAAATCAGTTTCTACCTTTCATAATAATAATAAACTCCAACTTAATTAAGTCGTATTTTTGATTAACAAAAATAAAATGTATCCAAAATCGTCGCTACATTACGGCAATTCAAAATAAAAATATATTTATTTCACGCTACGTAATTTACCAAAATAAACAAAACAGGCACTACTTCAACGTTACTAAGCAAATCGAAATAATAAATATTAAAAAGTTGTTTTAAAATAATCCATAATTTTCAACGAAAATAATCATTTTAAATGAATTTTCGATTGATGAGAATACAATTTATTGCACGCTACGCAATAAAGTAAACAAAACAGACGCTAATTCAATATTATTAAACAAATGAAAACAATGAGCATTCAGTTATTGCAAACGAAATGAAAACTTTAATTATATACCAAAGCAGATTTCAAAACAACTGAATAAAATGTAAAAATAGTTATCTTACGATCATGATGTTCAAAGCCAAAAGCACAATAATGATCTGTAGCATGAAGCTACATTGACATACGCAGAAATCTTCCTCATGCATAGTCAGTCATTTACAGTACATTTCCTGGTAAAATATGTAAATATAGAACGTCATACGACCAGGAACAAGAATCAGGACATGCACGCTTCAAGGACACCAAGATAAGACTGAGCTTATGAGCGCGACAGTCGCACATTATTTGCGCGGGTCAGGGGAGATGCGCGCGCCGTTGGAATGTCAGTCGCTAGCTCCATTTTTTTTTAAACTCTAACCAACCATAAATTGCTAACCGTTATGTATTATACATCGTGTCATTACCATAATTGGTTTATACATTATCAAAATGTATCGTGAATATTTTGTTCAGAATATTACTTGTATTGTTGGTAGACAATGAATTACGATCGTTATACATTGTCAATCGGCTATTGAATAAAACAAACTCGGGCGACAAAAACTATCGATAGTGAATAGCTACGTCACATTTTGAACTGACTAGACGAAACGCGTAAACAATCTCGCATTCAAATTTATTTTTCCAGGAAATACATTCTATGCTTCTACTTTTATGAAACGTTGATTTTAACATTACACCTTTAAACTCGACAAGAACATTCGCACTAAACCGTTGAACAAACCAAAAATTAACTGTCGTACGATTTGTACATAGCGTTAATTGGTACACAACACGGATGGCACTATGAACACAGTCGAAAATCGTGACACCATATGACTGCAAGTCGTTTACGCGAAACACGTTGATATTAAAAAAGACTTACCTCCAGAAGATTATCAAAAGCCAATACGTTCTTCCTTTTAGCCATTATATCTTCGCCTCACTTTCTTGCACTCCCTTGCGTTTAGAATTCCTTTCGCACAGTCAAACAAACTAATAACGTTTTGCAATTCGTAAATAAACGATGCTGCAGTACATCCTCCGATGTTTCGAGTTTTTGGAAAAACGGAGGTGTATCCAACAACAGCCATTCGGAGACATACGCACGAGAAGAGTTGCGACGACTGACTGACTTGTAAGAGGTTAGTTATGGTATGCTTGATCGATGACTTTCGCGGTTCTGTGTGTGTGCCTTACATTTTCGGAATGTGATGAGACACTTGTTTTGCGTCCCCTCTCCCTCTTCTACACACGACATAACAACAGGAGATCAAATTTCAGGTTCAAGCAGTGCACACACCATTTTTTATTTTCAAAACATTGCTTCGGTTTAGAGAGAGACATTTAAAATGCAAATTGATATCGCGTTCTTGGTTGCACTGTCAATTTTTTTCTCTTCCATTGTTTCATCAATTTTTAAATATTGATTAATTGTTGAATTAAATGCTCTATTGTTAAAAGAGAAAAAATGTTAATTTACCATGAAAACGCATCCTTTTGAATTTTATTTTACTTTCAGTGTGTAAATCGAGCAAGAGTGAATTAAATTATAAATCTGCGCATATACAATGATGACTCATCGACTTACCTTAAGTTATAAACTCGATGCTATAAATAGAACTTGATGTTTGAACCTTTATGTGTGCAGATTGAAGAGAATCATTACCTTTAGACTATGTTAACTTTCTCTTGATGAGCGTTTGAATAAATTGTTTTTCTTTTTTTTGGCACAATGCGTTTTTTAATTATAATAAATATTGAAGTAGAATAAAAGAAGGAAGAAAAAAAAGTTTTTTTTATTTCAATTTAGTTTAAAGTATTTTTTGTTACTTTCATTTAAAATTAGAAGTTTCTTGAAATTAAATTTCTACGTAAATATACATAATTTACTACGATAAAGATATCATTAGAAATGTGGTTTATAAAATGTTATTTTTATTTTTACTGCTACGAAAATGTGAAATAAAAAAATCATAATTTTCTAGGAACATAATTTCTATGCATTTTTTTAAATTGTCGATTAAGAAATGTTCGATACATTGTTTCAATATTATAACATTACCATCTGATTTTTGACACAAATAAACGTGACTGCTTCGAGCAATCTTTTATCACTTCGAAATTTCTTGTCTGATCTGACGCTTAAGAAAAGCCCAAATAAATTTGCGACCAAACAACCGATAAACGATAAACAACCTTTCAAATAAAATAAAAAAGGGTGTTTCATATTCGTAATCACATAAAATACGTCAAATTGAAGAATTTAAGACTCTCTTTGTTTCTTTACGTAACCATTCACCTTCGCCAAATCGTTTAATAAATTATACGACGCATAAAAACAAAAACAAACCTCATCTTGATCATCGTCATTCTGGAAAATATAATATTTCTGAAATCCATTTTCATCGTTGTTTTCCTCTGGATTGTACATTTTGCTGATTTACACTGTAACATTCACGTAAGTGGAAGATCGACAACGAGCTCGCTCGACGGACACGAAGCCACGCGAAAACAGCAAACCGCACGAGTTGTTAACTCGAACGCTGGACGTACGATACTGATAACTGTCTCGCGTGTGTTTATTGTACAATTTGATCGTGATTAGTTGAGTAGCACGGAATTTTTTTCATGTATACCAAAATGATCGAGTAAATAGAGCCGATTTGCCTTTCTTTGTATTAAAAAAATGAATCGTAGCGAATCTCGTCCGATACAACTTACTAAGTACTGACTAATTGAACTTGTATGAGACACCAAGCTGATGTAGGAGGGACTGAGCAAGTTTAACGCCAGCCTACTGCTTATACGGTATGTGCGCATGCGTTGTAGAAACTGAAGCTCGCAATTGCGTCGAGCAGCCGAAGCGTATGTAGGTGTATCCACGGATTTACTCGGGCTGGATTGTCAACGGGTTCGAACCATTTTAAATGCGCACTTTGACATTTGGCGCCATCACAAGCCAAAACCGAAAACAAAAACTTGTCGTTCCGCTCATCTTGGTGAGTTTGACAGCTTCAGAACGAAAGCTGTGTTCTTGTAGCATGCAAATAGGATCTGCTGGAAACTCGCGAATCAACTGTATTTCAAAGACAAAAGAAAGATCAATAACTACGACTGAAAAAAATGCTGTGTAACGATTGGAAATCTAAGATTAGGCGGAACGACTTAAAGTCGATATTCTTCCAAATTATGAGAACGTTACGAATTCTAGGCCTGAGCAAATCTATCATACGGACAAGGATTTATCATGAAACAACGGATTTCATTGTTGTTATCCACAATAAAATTTATAATAAATATATGTACACTTGATTTGTTTTAAATCTTATCACGAAGATCACACGTAAAAAAGCATATCTATGCCGTATCAAATAACGAATTTACATAATAAATCGGGCATTATCTTGAACAGTCTCTTTTGGCCGCGAGCAAGTGGAGCTTCATCCAATCTTTTCGCCGCAAACTTGATGGAGCGTCGAATCTCCTCCCCTCAATCGCTGTCATCCGTATTCCGAGGAGCCCGCGTTAATGGTCGTCGGCTTTCCTCGTCTGAACCATAAATTACTTCCTCGTCCGAGTCGTTTATCATTGAGAAGGACGGATTGTCCTTTGTTATTGAAGAATCTGCAAATATATAGCGAATAAAACGCTTGTATTTTTTTTCTTAAATGCATCCAGCAAATTCTTGTTTCCGACTCATGCTTCGATTTATCAGCAAGCTGACTGCCAGTTATCGATCTGATAGAGTATCAATTAATGAGGTGTTAAATCAACGTGCTCATTCGATATTAAATATATCAGCCGCTCCTAATTGTTAATAGAAATACGTCAGACACAACAACTAGCAATGCTCGTCTGCTTATCACTTACGTTGTCCGTAGACTTGCTGAACTCCGGGCGAATAGACATACGCCATTGTGTACAGATAAAAATTCAAAAGACCGTATAGAGCCATGAATTGGGCCGACGTTCTGTAATGCGTCGACAAACGCGACGCAAAACTATCTTCGAGGACACCTGCTCCAAATTGGCGCACAGTTACCACTGCTATCACTCCTACCACGATGCTCACGAATAGCGTTAACACTCTGAGCCGCATATCTGAAAGTTGAACAAATGAACATTAAATCAATGACCCAGTCGAACTTAGGATTCTCCTTGAATCAACGCATTATGAATGCGCAACGTTTTCGTCAGTGAACAGTTATAGTCTAAGGCAATGGAAAATCATTAACAATTTCATACTTGCTGACTTAGGGTAATAGAAAGACCATTAACAATTTCATACCTGCTAAGTTAAGGTAATGAAAGATCATTGACAATTTAGAACTGGGAAGGTGCGGAATAATGTGCTATGCTTGAAAGCGAGGCGGGAAGCTTCAACCTCAAAGCGATCATTTGTAATTTCATTCAGTCGTGCTGAAGGGATTCAGGGACGACTGGTACGGTAACAGGTACGAGGGGGACTACATTTCAATAGTATAATAGAGGGCCTTCGGCCCCCTACAGAGCCGGAGCAGGAACGGGAGGGGCTTACTGTCTCGCTCCGCTATAAACGCGCCTCGAAATGGTTGCCGCTGAACGGCAACGATGGAAGACGTCGCGACTATCGCGGACATTTCGATTCTTTGCGTTTTGCTATCAAAATTTAAACGAATTTTTACATTGGTTACAATGTAGATTGAGTGCAATCAAGATGCAAATTTTTAAGTTCGATCTACCGTTCAATCCTGTTAAATTTTGCGTTGAACGGATATTTTTTGCCGCTTTCGCCTCATCGAAATAAAACTGTTTAATGTAGTACTAGATAAAAATGAAACTGCAGAAGAACGGTGTACGTCATTTCGAGCGATCAGAAGAATATTTTAAATTGTTTTAGATTTTTTATTAACGACGCGTATATTATCAGTGGGTGAAGTCTATGAAGTCGTAAACTTTACGTAGCCCAAATTGTTCTTGAAGCTTCCTTTAGAATATATAAAACGTTAGAGTCCGATGTAAATTGTTTCGAGTTGTACTACTAAAAGAAACAGAGGATCGTTTTCGTTTTCAAAGTATTACGTATCCGTTGATATATACATTGTCCGGCGTTACACATTTTGGTAATCGATAACCTTTTCCATTGTTAAAAATTAGAAGGAAAAATTACTAGTTCTTCACCCCCCCCCCCCCCTCCCCGTCAAATTACATGCTTGTGGCCATAAAATTCAAGTAGTAATTCAAGGTTCTGAATTATACAAAATTTTATTCTGTGTTCCACTTACGACACGTACATTCCAACAGTTGAGATCGAACAGGGACTAAAAAATGTTACGTAAAAAACAAGTTACCTGCTAAATGAAAATGAAAAAAATAAAGAACGAGCAGATAGCAGAGGCGACTCCTATATTTCTTTATTTTCGTTGTGCCGGCCTTCTACGCTCGAGAGCAGGTAGCGCTGAAAGAAAGATACTTATCTCTCAGACGACGAGTAGAATTGGCGAAGAACCGGTTACGCACCACGTATTTTATACTTCCCTTTTTACACGCGGCCATAGGCGCCCGCACTTTCATTTTACGGATATCGAACATTTTTAATTCAAACTAAAACATCTAAAAGTAAAAATTGTTTACAAGAACTTTTGCGTATTCTACTTACGACTATTCTTTCCTATAACATCGACGTGACAAATAATTTAATAAACTTACCGAAGTACGGCATGGAACGTAATTCGCTGTAAGCTCGAAGTATTAACAACGAGAGATATACTATGTAAATTCCTCCAACTGAGAAGAAAAATACTTTGAAACCCTAGAAAAAAAGTACATTTTTCGTTTAACCTCACTACGTACCAAATTTAAGACTTTACTATTCGATATAAACTTACGTAATAATTGGACGTATCGAGGACATAGTTATATGTGGGATCTTCGAGTTCCGAACATCTCAACCATGTTGCGAGCGTCAGTGCAGCTCCCCATAAAGATCCAACAACTAACAATTTTGGCAAATAAAACGTCAGCATGCGCCTTTCGTTCTGTCAAAGATTATTTCATTTTGTAATTCAAAATTCAAATGTCTCATTCATTTTTTAAAATAATATACCTGTCTCAGTCCATGATAAACGCAAAGCCAAAACATCAGTATGGCACACAGAAAAGACGTCTGTAGTAAAGCGTCAACCATTCCAGGAAACCACGAGTTCATTAAAAATGTCGTAGGAAATAGTGGATCTGCAATACATTTTTCTTACTAAATCGTAATTAAAGTAATATTAAAATTTTTTCAATGATACTCACTGTTGTACAACATTAATAAAGGTAATAAAATAGACACCCATTTCTGCTCTATAGACCAGTCTTGAACAGGATATTTTTTAAGCGAATTCCCGAACCAACACTACAAAGTCAATTTTATCGTTACAAAATGCTCAGAATGATAATAACAACTAATGGCTTTTGGCAATTAATTCTATAAAAATTTTGTCATTAAGCTATTTGTAAAATGTATAACATTTCATTCAATTTTTTCGCAGTACATGACATTTTTTTTAATGACTTATCAATTTGATAATATTAATCATATAATGCATGGTCTAATGACTTACAAAATAGTATATATACGAGTCAATGAACTCGAGTATAACAAAGTAATTATATATATGATTTTCATTGATAAGATTTTTATTTTACATAATAATACTTTTATCGATAAAATTTTCAATAAAAGCGTGTCCTTACCGTTACAGCGAACGTGCAAAATAAAAAAATCAGTCTAAACCATATCTCTACTTGCGTAAAAGCGGGGTTGAAACGTTTGAACTGTAAAAATAGTATCAATAGTTGAAACCGTAAAATTTCTTTGTTAACTGCAACGATATTCTAATTGTCTATTATTACTAACGTAGAAATTTAAATCCTTAATTGTGTATCGTTGATGGAAGCTCTCTAATCCGTAAAATCGAACTGTAATTATGTAGCGTCCGTACTCGAGAAAACCCAAGTGCACGATGACAATTTCCTCGCATACTTGTCGCTCGCATTTGAGATGTCTCGTTCTGAAACGAAAGAGAGTGTAAGTGGCGGCATCCAGTGAAGCTTTGTAAAAGCTAAGATCATTTTACACAATTGAAAATCGTCATGCGGTTGACGAATTTATCTTTCGTATTTAACAAAAGTGAATGTTGTAAGTGTGTGAAAAGTTTAATCATATAAAATGTTCTGAAAGGTCAAAAAGTCGAGTTTAACTGACTACCTATTTTGTCCACCTTCCGGAATTGGCACATGATCAATTTTGCGCTCTACAGTGATGCCATCTATCAATACGCTAATTTGAAAACTTTTGTCATATATTTCATCTGAAATGACAATTTTTTAATCAGATAGTGAGTTAATAATTGTCTCAATTGTTTGTGTTAATAAAGATGCTACCGTCAGTATTAGCGGTCGATAACTTAGCTATGACCCACAACTGCTGACTGTACGTCGATAAAGGTGGGGTTTGCATGATATACGGTCCAGTCGCCGTTTCACTTGCATTTACATGCGCTTTTTCCTCGGTTGTTAATGTTATTGGTGGTCCTAAAAATAATTGCCTAATATCAATCTGCATCCAGTGTACAAATGGTATTTTTTACATCTACAATAGCTATTGTTATCAGAAGCACTTGAACCAAAACATTTGCGTAATTGGATATTATAAAAAAAAAAAGAAGAATTCAATTGTTGAAATTGTTATTTTGTCAAGAAGAATTTGTTTACCTGCCAATCCCATAAACACTGCTAATCCAAAGCAGGCAAAGAATGCAACAATCACCATAACAAATTCCCTTTTGTGCATTGAATATAAGCGCATAGTTACGGATCTGTAACAACATTGCAATAAGTTATTTAAAATTAAAAATAAATATTTCATGTAAATGTCGTCAGTAACACATACCTTTCACACCGGTCGTGATGATAAGCTGGAGCGATGTATTTGTTGAATTCGCTAAAAATGTCACTGCACTGAGATAGCGCATTACGAATTTTGAAATTCCAACCACCCGACGGTAGTTGATAAGAATATCCCAAATTAGCCCCGTCCATTCTTCTTTCTTACTAATTGGGCAGTATTGTGTACCTGTAAGTGGTCCAGCAACAATATTTTCGATATAAAAACATTTTTCCGAGGAAATGTTTATAAAAATTGCAATAAACGCGTATAACATGATAGAAAAATGCTAGCAAAAAACTAAGGTTAAATAATAAGTAAAAGGTTATGCAGTTTATTGTAGTCAGCTACTGATTTTACAATAATGTTGTACACAAACAATAACGTTCTACGTTCTATCGAATTCATTATTTATATTTAAATGTTAATTAAATTGTGTTATTTGAATTAAAGCATGGACATTTGTTTTTTATTTGCAATTTGAATTTTTCGGCCAAATTAATATATTTTTTATCCTAGGTTAAGTATCGTTTTGAAAGTATACTTTCACATGCCAGAATGTGATAATTTCAACGTTGAAATTTATCATATCCGCTACGTCGATAGGCTTTCAACCGAAAATTTACTTTTTGCTCGCGTCATTCGATCGTCTGAACTGTACATTCAAGTTGCAAAGCATTTTTCACAAATCGAAACATCAATCACTTGCCACTTACTGAATTGATCAACCCCCCAAACCTAATCCTTTTTAACTTGTCGAAAACCACTCTGCGCACAATCAACAAGGCAACTTATCTCGCTGTTTTCGTCTCATCCTCGCAAAGTACGAAAAATCAGCGAAATAGAAATAAAAATGAACCGTTGCAAGCTGGTTTCAACGTGAAACAATGAGAATTATTCTCAACTTTTCATTGCTTATTGGTGATGATGAAAACTACGCAGACGACGCACAGGGCGTCGTAACGGCGCAAGCTTTTTCCCTTCTTTCGGAGTTTGCGCGTTACAAGCATCGCAGGTATATAATATCGATTTGTGCGCGCTCGCGTGTGCGTGCTTGACACACCGCAGATTTGAAGCAGTGCTCTATTAACCGATATATAGGAAAGCGAATGTGCTGGATGAAAAGGAATCTAGTCTGCTTATATGAGGTCGTAGATAACAACCGTTCGTTTTTCTTTGCTTACGACTTGTGTTTTTAATGGGGCGATATGCTTTTTCGATTTCAGAAAGCCATTATTTACGCCTTTCTTTTAGAACTCTTATGTTCAAAGTCTTAATATACAGTGGAAAATGGAGTGTAGCCAATGCTGAATCATCCGTTTGAAATATGTTCAATAGATAATTGAACCAAATCAATGATGTTGATGGCATCATTTTGCTTAAACTATTATGTCTAATTTTTTTTCATATTTCGCATCATCTTCTTGAATACTAATACGATTACTTGATAAGATATCTTTTATTATCATACAAATCAACAGGTTTTAAAAAAGTACAACGAATATGGTGCATTACTCTAAGAAACATACTTTTCATAATAAATGTAATTTAATTGATTACAAATGAAAAAATACTTGACCTACAGCCAATAACGCAAAATTAACAATTCACTGTATCTGTAAATTTACATAGGCGTAAACATTTATTGCACGAAATAAATAATCAATATATATAGAATACTACGGATCTCGATAATTAACCGTATGACGGTAACAGCTATCCGGAAGCTTTCTTGTTTTCGGAAACCGAGGCGCTGGTATTATCTTTGTTGTCTATTACGGTGAATATATTTGAGAGACTATGGCACATATTTTTCGAGTTGTATTTGTAAGTTGTATTGTTAGAAGTAAATATAGCCATCGAATGTGATCAATGTTACATATATTAGTCCTATTTTTTTATTCGAGCGTTTGGTGTACTCTCAAACATATTGTAAAGTACAATTTTGACAAATCCGAAGTATTAGGAAATTTGTATATACGGAGTGTATATGTATATATAACTAAGCCTAAAAGATTCCAACAAGAAATCCCTATAACAATCATGCTTGTTTAACGTGAAAAGTGATCGACTGAACGTTCATTTATCATAGCTTACCGAAATACAAAGTTGTTTTGCCACATACATCGTGTATTTAAGAAAAATCTGCAATGAAAAGTGTGACTGTGAAATATTTAATGGAAGCGGCATATATATTTAAAATTAGTTTATTAAAATAGTTATGTGAAAAGGTTTTATGTGAAAATTTAGCAGTCAAGACTGCTCGTGAATCTCTCCAGATCGCAGTAACTTTAAACTGAGGAATAAAATTATTGATTATACGATTATGAATTTCAAAAGAATTAAAATTTACGTAGTTTCAAGAAACCTGAAGATTTTCATCTTTGCTTAGTACTACAAGTTCTTTCAAAATTTGATGAAAAGAAAAGAATCAAGATTAGAATAACTAACGTTTGTTCATATCTCAAGTTATTATTTTTTTTCAAACTAAAATATACTGAAATTATATCCAAAAAACGAAAATTAGATTATTTTTTAAAAATTGTTATTTTATTATTTGAAAAGATAGATTTTCTTTATTATTTTATTATTATTACATTAGAAAACGAATTTCATAGTTAATTAAAGAAATTATTATTTATTATTATTGTTCAAAATACGTAGGAACAGAAGTATATGTGTATATAATTAAAGAAAATTTATTTTGCGATTGTATTTAAAATCTTGTACAAATACTTATCATTAATTAGCGATCTCAGATTTGTTTTTAAATTATTTAAATTGAATGATCTTATTTATTTATTTTATTTATATAAGTGAAAATAACAAGTAAAATTATTTCGTACATTTATTAGAATATTGAAGTGGATATAATTTATTCATATAAAAAGCACATACAATAGAATATAAAGGAAGGAAAAAAATATTAAAAATAATGTATATTCCTAAGGTATAAATCAACATGCAATATTAGTATTGCCGTCGATTGTTTAAAATTCTACAAAAATTTACAATCACAATCACAAATAGCTATAAGCAATCGGAAACACTTTCATGCAGAGACATTCGTACAACGATTTGCCGATGAAAAGTTAAAACATATATTATATCGTACAAAGTAATTCCACAATAGATTTTTTAAGATACGTATAAAAAGAAGACACGAATATGATATTATATGTACAATTAATGTTGCAACATTTTATAACTCGAGAGTGAAATGCACACTTAACAAACTTATGTAAATCGTTAACAAACGCGACTCAATATGTGTATGACGTTGATTAAAAAGTAGCGCTATATAAAAATCGTATAAAATAAAAGGCAGCCGTGAACGCTAGAAAAAAGGTCTTCGGTAAGGGTGTTCTCGCAAAGGAAATAACAAAAGATACCCGACGCAAAACCACTATAAATATCCGATGCAATCTAACAATTTGCGTCACTCCTCGTTGGCCTTAATGTCGTGGCGATCAGCAAAATTGAACTCACACCTCGGCGGAACAGGTGGCCCAGGCAGTTTCTTCAAAGTTACACCGAAGTTTCGTGCAATCTCCTGCGACGCGGCCACTTGTACATTGGTATAATCTGGAACAGGCTCGGTATTAATAATCTTTGGACTTGCCGGCTGCACCGGCTCTTCATTTTGATTCTCATCGACATTCTCATTTTCATTTTCATTTTCATTTCCATTGCGTTGTTCCACTTGGGTCGTTGTCGTCGTCGCAGGCTCCGCGTGGATTTCCGGCTGAATGGTGAGTACATTTCCACACGAGTCGCCGTTGGGTCGATTAACGTTGACGTGCTGGAACGAGGGTATACACATACCAGGTGGGGGTACAAGGATATTGGCGTAGTCCATCGGTGTGTTCGGAGTTTTTGGTTCCTTGACGTTGCTACTGGCCGCAGCGTTGGCCTTGAAGGCTGCAAGAGAAACGAAATCGATGATATTGGTTTTGCATTTGAATGCGCCCATTGCCTCAAGGCTGGGTTTAATTACAAGTTCTGATTGGGGATTTGCCGAGAAACGACGTCGAGGCGCGCGCTCGCGCTTTGTTTTCCCATTTCGGCGCCACGTTCAAACTAGATGCTATCTATTAAACTCCAAGTGGCTCGGTAAAATCATGTCGCGGTTGCAACGCAGTCTCGGCAAAAATTGCTAATGCATTAACGCAAATAATCGACGGCTTCGATCTCTGCCAATTTTTCAAACGAGAGCAACAACCGAACTGATTAAACAACACCTCCCGATCGAGACGTCTTTCGAGGCTCTCGTCACAGAGGAAGCAAACTTACTGTGCACTGGCAATCCACAAGGTGGGAAAGCAATGTAATATTCCTTATCGTCGACTGTCGGATGGGAGGATTTGACAGGCCTAAGGTCAAGCTCGCTGTTGTTAACACTCGGACATCCCATAGTCGTAGCGCCGCGTGCCAGGGTTGGCGTGTATTTACCACTGTTGTATAACCTACAGCTTGCGGCGTTGAGAGGCTTTGGTGTCGGTGGGATCTCGTAGCTCGTCATGCCCGCGGCCTTGTCGTCCGAAATTCGATGTTGTAGCTGTTTAACGTGGGGAGCGAGGGGTTAATATTTACTTAGGATCTACCGTTAGGAGCTCTTCTACGGGTCCTCGATTAACTATCAACATTTTCATATGTTGCTCAAAATAAAATATTTCTAACGATGACTTACTCGTCGATCGTCCGTGTCAGAGTGGGTGCCACTGTCGCCCAGACTGGTACCGCTACACCCGCTTACAGTACTCATCCGGCCGGATGACGACGAACCTTTCCAAAATACAATTGAAAAATTGGACACTTGCACGCTCCGTCAAATTCATTCGACTTATACAATAACTTACTTGAAACACTGTGAAGACTGAGGCTGCTGACAGGGCGACGATCACCCAAATTACCATTGACTCCATTCGGTTTGCTCGCAGTGGTTGCATCGTCGCCCAGAGCCGCAGATTCTTTTGAGTCTAAATTTAACCAGAGTCCATAAATATTCATTCATTTATCAGCACCAATAATACAACAAAGTTTTTACTTCAAGAATGTTCCTACTTAATATAAGTATGTAGCAAGTTCGAGAACTTGATTCTTTCTTGACTAAGGAGCTACTAAAACGATTTAAACATATAGATAGGTCTTATCAATGATGTCGACAACTATTCCATTAAAAAAGATCGATTCTTATACATAGTTATAACGAAACGTAAAAGAAACAAAAAAAGAATAGAATTCTTGCATTTGCTGCATACGTAAAACGTTTTTTTTTTTTTTTCGATTTACCTTTTTTACCCTTTGTGAAAAACTTTCTAATCCTATCAAAAGGCGTCGGTGCTTTCATATCATCTTTGATGCGTTTTTGTATCCTCTCGTATTCATCCCTCATTGCAGCCAATTGCCTCTGCTTATCTTTAAAGCTCTGCTGAACGTCGTTGCGATTACGCCAATTCTCCACGAGTCTCTCCACCTCCGAGATAGTGAACACATTGTTCTTGAAATCGGTGATTATCTCCAGAAGCTCGTCTTGTGGGCTCTCACGCGTTGACTTGCTGCTAGACTGGCTTGAGCGATTTGACTTGCACTGATTCTCGTCGTTCTTGGCTGATTCCGAGGTGGTTGGAATACTTTCGCCACCGGCTGCTGTGTTGCTGATGAGTTGAGAGGAGCTCAGTGACGTCACTGTCGTCGGAGTCGATGATGCTGAGTCACTCGTTGCTCGCAGAACTGTATAACGCAAATAGATGCTTTCCATTGGCTGAATTCATTTATTTCTTTATTTTTCGTCAATGACGATGTGCTTTTTCATATATGAGTTGCAATTTGAAGGCGCTTATTAAAATGTACAAAGACTATAAACAATCACTTTTGATGAAAAAAGCCTAAACAATCTTATTGCGTAGAGAAGGAGCTTCTTCAAACGAGGAAAAAAAAACAATTTTACGAACCACTAATAATTTAGAATTGAAATTGATATTGAAAAATTCATAGATTCTTTTAAAATCTTCAAACACGAAATGCATCAGTCGAATATAAAAACTCTTCCTGTATTTTTCGCAGAGCTTTTTATCACTCCCTCACACTCACTGCTCTTCATATCCATAAAAAAAAGCTCTCGAAAAATGGAAAAAAAAAGAGAAGCAAAAGCGAACCTGCAGGATTCATCTGCATGTAACCTTGTAAAGGTATCTCGGAGCCAGATCCGTTGAGGGTCGAACATGACGCATAGCTTGCCAAAGGTGTTGCTGAATCTTCGTTCTCTGATGTCGCTGCCGTTGATTGCATCGTTGGATTTGGTTGTGGTAGAGGTGGCGGTGTCGAGTAATCTGGGAATGTACGTGGCAATACTGGCCGTGCTACTGGTGGTACAGAGTATGCTTCGCTCAACGGACGTGGACGACAGTAATCCTCCTGACGACACTCGTCCTCAACTATGTTGTGTTGAGAACGGACGCCTATGTAAATGAAATATCAAGTACTGAGGTTGATATTTTTTTATAAAGAGTCTACTTTGAGATTGGATCAATATAATTAACAATTATATCAAAAAGAAAATAAAATTCCACATTAAAATTATTATAAAAAAATGCTCGTGGATCTGATATTGACTCATGTTTCAGTATGAATTCTATGTTTACCACAGACAACTCATTGCACGTGGTCCAGCGACGATTCGTATTAATAAATTAAGCTTTGTACATTAATGTCTAAAAAATTTCAAGGTGCAATTTTGGCTTCTTAGACGAAAGAACGTTTATTAACTATTAAATTTTACATTATGCGATATCAGTGCAACAAATAAATTGTTTTTTTTTTTTTTTTTTGAGGTAAAATAAATACTATTTTACTGGCACTTATCGTTGCGCATTGAGTGTTTTTTAACTCTAAACGTATAATTCTACAGATATTTGATATGGATACGCCGGAAATATTTGTCAATGAAATCAATATGTCAAATATGGTAACTCGAGACATGAGAGGTCATCAAAACTTTTAAGTACATCTGGAAATTCGAAGATTTTTTGGAAAAACGTAAATGACTGTTAATACTGTGCCCGTTCGAAAATTCAATAACCCAATTCAGGCACGTTTTGCGTGTTCTTAAGTTGGGTCAAAGCAACAGCATCGTAAAATACAGTTATCACACGAGATTAGGCTTTGAAAATAACGCGCGACAAGAGACTTTCGTGTGTGATACTAATTGCGAAAAGGTGGACAATTGATTTGGAAAATATCAAAATTCATTTCGAAAGATGAGCTTGTGTAAAACAGACACTTTACTCGTAAACCGTGCGTTGAGTATAGTGTTGGAGATTGATTCCAATTCAGATGCTGATGAAAATTTGAATGGCCAAACTAATGTGATTAATGATTTCGAGGCGATGTTTTTGAGCGGCAGATTCAATGACTTGGCAATTACGGTTGGTGGCAAAGTGATCAAGGCGCACAAAGACGTCTTGGCGTCGAGAAGTACGGCTTTCTCTGCAATGTTTGATCGCGGCACTAATGTCAATAACGATAACTTTGAAATTGACGACATTGGTTACAACTTTGCGCGAGAGCTTTTGCTCTTCGTGAACTCGGGAAAGATTTGTAATAAGAATGTCCGTTTTGTCAGGTCTTTGTTGACAGCAGCTGTTAAGTACAATGTAGCTATGCCGAAAAATATATATTCGAGAATATTTTTTAAGTGAAAATTTAAGTATCAAAAATGCAAGTGAACTCTTTGCTGATTCTAATTTGTATAATTGGGCCGAATTGAAAACCTTTATGGTTCATATGATAAAAAATCTACCCTGCGCTCAGCTTCAAAAGATTGCATAACAAATGTAAACTCGAAAATAATATCTACATCTAAAAGTATTACAAGTAATAAGTATCGTTTCATTTTCTTGAGTGAGTCAAAAAATCATACGTTACTCTACATGTCTAAAACCATAAACCTTTAATAAAAAATTGTACGTGCTTTATTGTTTTAAAAATCCGATTTACTTTTAATTGATCTAACTTATAGGATCATCATCGCTAATCAAAAGAGTATTATTTATTCCGCTTACCGTTTCCACTCTCGTTTGAGTTTTCACTCATAACCTTGAGATAACTGTACATATTCGAAAACTCGTTCATTTGCTGCAAATAATCAACATTAAAAAAGTCATGCTAACATCGATAAAAGTAGGCAACGAATCGTTAGAATTACCATGTAACCACGCAGTTGGTGTGCGAGTTTGACCTGTCCAGCTTGCTCGGCAAGGTCAGCGGGTGTATGATCGTTGGCGTTTCTCATGTCGCAGGCAACGTCGCCGCCCGGACACTCGAGCAGCTGCCAGGCTAACTTTTCCAAGCCGAAGCGCGCTGCGAAGTGCAGAAGAGTTGGATTCTCTTCGGAACCTGCCGCAATAAGAACACCATTTTTTTCTTATGAACTTTTAAGCAAAATTCGAATTGACGTTGCAATCGAAGCCAGAAGAATTTAACGAAAAATTCTCGGGAATCTTTGATTGCGTATCTGAAATTCGTTCTTAGCGAAGGATCTTGAGTGAACGAAGTTCGTTCGCGAGATCAATCACTGGAAGAAAAGAGCGGCTGAACTTAAATAACGAAACGAGCTCGTACTCGAGTGATTCTTGGAGAGCTGAAAGTCGCCTGGTGGATTTGAAAGCAGATTGAAGTGCGGCGGTACGTTCTTTTGGAACGCGTGCACCATCCAGTTATCTAGCTGCTCTTTATCGCCGGGATTAAAGCCAAACGTCTGCGAATAAGAAAGAGCAGAAGAGGGACGAATGAAGCGATCTGCTGTCGCTCGTAAAAATAATGAGATTTATCCGCCTCTCACCTGACACATGAACTCAAGTGGATTATCGTGCGCTCTTAGTATCTGATCGAGCTCGCGTAGTCGGCTCTCGCACTTGACCTGGCGTACACCGAGTGGTGCTCCGTTACGCGCGATCCTCACCCCGACCAGCAGCGACACGTCGAGGCAGCGCTCCGGTATGGAGAACTGCAAAGTGTACGGGTTGCGGCGCTTCACGTGACTCACCTCCAGTGCCTCGCCACAGCGGTCCACCAGCACCGTCACGCTGTCGTCCGGGTGCAGTGGCTCGTTCAGCAGAGCCAAGATTCGATTTTGACCCTGCGGCATTTGCAAATCGATCGTAATAGAGCCGTCGCTCGGACGATCGAGATTCGCACCACTCACCATTTTAACTTTCTTAGGGTGCACGGAAAAGCCAATCTTGTCGAGCTTGGGATTGCTGCTGGCGGCGCTGCCTAAAATAGCCACCGCAGCGCCGAGAAATTGCCCGACGAAAGTCTCGTCTTGATCCTTGACAAAGAACTTTCGCCAGCTGAAATAGCCGAGGAGGTTGGCGCGTTGAGCGGCGCTCACGTGAGCGTCTTGCACGCCCAGCATCATCGCGAGCACGCGCTCGGCGCACAGCTGACGACTCACGGCCGACGCCTGCTCCGGACGCTCCGACACCCGCTCCAAGAACATGGGGCATACCACGATTATTTGCAGACGTGCCGTGCGGACTTTGAGCTCGACGTTCGGCGTCAGCGGTTCTTCGATGCTCACTTGCGCCACTCTGTCGACAGATAGGTCTCGATTTTCATTTCGATTTTCACCTTATTCGCAAATAGATTTTTTCCCTTGGTCGAGCTGACCAAGTGAAACCATAGGTAAGGAGAGTCAAAACATCTTTAGAGGCAAAGCCTTGCAAACGAAAGTACTCTGCGCTGCTCAGAATTCTCACTTAACGCATTCCGCAAATTTCTCGAGGAAAAGCTGCACTTGATTCGCTGACTGTCCCGCCGAAAAAAAAGTAATAAAAAAAAAAAGCAGAGAAGCAGTTTTACTCTGAGATTAAAGCCAAATAACTTGCAACTTAATTTTAACGACTCGATGAGTCGAGGGCTGGCTGTTGTAGCAGCACACGCTATCGCGAGATAAAAAAGAGAAGCGAAGATGCTCGACACAAACCTGAAGGGCGGCCTGCCTTGTTGCCGGCTGATCTGCTCGAAGCATGCCGTCAGATAGTTCACCCACAATGCCGCTGCCTCGTCGTCTTTGCTCGAGATGAATACCACGTCGTCGCGTGCCAGTGCCGGTGCCTCTGGTGTCGACGAAGACGGCTTTGCGTTGAATGCCGTTGGCGCGTGGCGCGTACCTGTAAATTCATTGATAGGATCGCTCAATTCTGGACTTTGACCGATGGCCCAATGTCATGGTTATGTTTTATTTGGATTTCAAGGTTGCTCGACGGAATTGAATTCCCGATAAAAACATATTGATGCTTTGACACAACCGTCCAATCCTACTCTTAGAAAGAGGAAAGGACAAAAATTATAAAGCCATATTAGCTCATTGAGTGACAGTTGCGTGTCGTCGGTCTGTATCCGCAAGTCACACAATTCCCAAGTCATCGCTGAAATAACCACGAGGAGTATTTCAGAAAGCAATTAGGCAGCCGGGAATGAAATTATTGAGCCCGTCGAATGCATTCTCACATTGAGCAAACAGTCGTCGCCACGTGGGCGAACCGCCTCGAAACAGCCCTCCTGCACTTATATACCTTGCATACTACACATGAGCTTTAACGCTCGAACAGCACTCGAAAGATTAATTGACGAGGCAAAGTTGGACAAACAAAAGCTCCACATGTAATCTAAGGGTGGCGTTCGGCGCGCCCAGTCGAGCGCGCGTAATTTAGGACACTGTGCTGTGTCGCATCATTACCCGGAGTGCCAGTCAATCGCTGTAATGGAGTTCTTTCACTCTCTCTTTCTTTTTCGCTCTACTCTACGCGCGCACTCAAACTTTTACGTCGCGCGAGCTTTTAACCCCGATGCCGATCAGATGCCGTCCTTTTTTCTCACGAAGAGAGCTATTTAGTAATAGCTGAAGTGGCCTAGAAGCGTCGAGTCGCTAAAACGACAAATCAAATTTAAGAAAATGAGCGATTCAAAATAAAAACGCTGTAAAACACAGAGTCCCGTCAGTTTTAATGGCTCGTTACTCGCGCCAGGCGAATTCCGCTCGTTCGGCAGCGGACCGCCGAGCAATTTATTCCCGATAAATTTTCCCGGAGCTCCGCGAGTCCCGGGCCCGCAGAGAGAAAAAAAAAGAAAAAAAAACTCGTCTTCTTTAACGATACATCGTACGAATGCGCGCGCGTTCTCGCGGCCTACTATAAATACACGAATATGAGTTCGAAGCGCGCACCGTATGTTTTATTAGGGCGCACCACCCATGGCGTACTCGTTTCTTTTCTTTTTATTTATTTCTTCGTTTGCTATTTTTCATTTCTTCTTGTTGACGCAGGCGTAACCCGATCCACCCAGAAGACGCTCTCTTATTCTCGGGCAGGCGCATTATTCAACGCTCCGCGCGAGTAGTCCCGGCAGAAACGAGACGTAAACTTTTTGGTTCGGGCGTACACACGGCAAACAAACGTTCTAAACTGGGAGTGCTGTTACGAAATGTGCGTTTGCCATCGAGGCGGCGAGCTTTTCGATCTGATACATATCGACGGTATTGGCGCGCGCAACTTTCGTTCTCGCGGGCGCCTCTTGGCCCGTGAAAGTGTCCGTTGGAATTCTCTCTCCAATTGGCTAACCGAAAAACCAACCTGCATTCAACTTTCGTGGGCCGCCGAGCGCACTTATTTTATTTATGCGAGCACGATCACATTAGCCAGAACTCGATGAGAAGAAGCGGCCAGCCGATCGCCAACTTTCTCCCCTGTTCTTGCTCTTTATTTGCTCAGCGCGCTCAGCATATCGTCTGGCGATACAACAGCAGCAGCAACTTTCTTTTCTGGGGAGCTCGACTTGTCGGTTTGTTTATGCACCTCGCTCACACTAAATTACTCGGCCTTGATACTCCGCTGGATTATCGCGCGCGTTATATCGTCGGATATGTCGCCGTTACGAGTCTGTACGATAAACGAGCGTTACGCGCTGACGAAATCCCATTAGCCGCCAATTCCGCCGTTTCCGCGGATCGTAATCACGGACTCGCGCGCGTCCCGCGGAACGCCGTCGAGAACACGAGCAGGAGCGCGACGCAGGACAGAGGTCGACAAAGCTGGTGGCGATTCCCTCGTGATCGAATCGTCGCGGCCCGTCCTCCCCGTCCATTAATTACTTGATCACGCTGCTGCGCGCACCCAGGCCATGCTCGCCAAGATCTTTGCTCCCGATGAAAGCTTTACGCGCGTCTGTATAAAGTATTGTGCTGTCGACACGCTCGCTCGCGCACCACGGGATTTGGCAATTTTTTTTTTTTTATTTTTTCTTTCTTTTTTTATTATTTCATTTTCAGCTCCCGGTCCGGGTTCTATCGTGGAGCTATTTGTGACGATAGGCTCGTCGCGGGACTATGAAAATTCCTGCGCTCTAACTTTATCGGCTTTTTCCGGTTCGACGTTCGAAACACAAAGATATGCAATACCGTCGCGCGCAGCACTAGCACATATAAATATACGTATTTTCTATCCATGCACATCGTCAACCGATCGAAAACCGAGGAATTTCGCCGACGAAGCAACAACCTCCTTTCAGGCGAAACGGAAGCAATTCATAATTGCCGAACGCGCACAGAGGCAGAGAGGTGAAACGCCGATCGGGAAACTTACGAAGGCACATTCGGCGAACAAGCGATATGCATAAACATGCGGGTATCCGAAAATAGAGTTCGCCGCGTCGCGATCAATCACGCTCTTCCCGGCGCGAGCCGTCGCCGCCTCTCTAATCCTAATGCGCAGGCAGGGGAGCGCGTCGCGCCGTACGCTTTAATATTCTCGAGAGCGCGTCGATATGTCCGCGCGGAGGAGCGAGAGGAGCCTCTTCCGTTTTAGCGTTCGCGCGGTACGTGAGCGGCCGCTCGCTAGCCACTTCCATTTTCGGGCAGCTTCCGGCCCGCGTGTGACGCGTGCGCGTATCGGCAGCGCGCGCCGCTTCCACTTTTCCTCGCTCTCGTTGCTGCGCGCCTTGTGCGCTTATCTCTCCTCGCTGCGGGGGGAACTTCTGATTTTTCACTCGATGTCTCTCCTCGTCGTTGCCTCTCCTTTCAGTCGAATGTCGAATTTTCGAAACGCCGAGAAATCGGTCTATCACCATCGCGCGGGGCCGCGATAGCAGTCGGAGCACGACGATCAATGTCAAGAGTGAACGTTCAGGAAACAGTTCGTTTGTCCGTCGATATGAAACGTCAAGCTGGAAAAAGTTGCAGGATGATCGCGAGCTGCGCAAATTTGACGTTGCGCGATAATCGTTCGACGGGAATCGCAGTAGACCTTGACAACCATGTAGTTGGAAAATTCTCGGTTAAACAAGAGCATCGAAAAGTTTATCGCGACGTTTTGTTTTTTTCCCGTGGTCTAGCTTTTATTACGCCTGCAACAATACAACAATAGAACAGATCCCAAACTCTCGTATAAAGCGACTTGAGCGGGATCCAAGCTATTCCGTTCCCAGTGGCAACGTATAGCATGAATCATCCAATTCCCCCCTCCCCTGAGCGCTTTTCGATCTGAGAAGAAGCACTTACGTGGGCATTTCCCGGAGAGATCGAGAAAATCCGGCCGCTTGAGCTCGGCGGCCTTGCGCGAGGCCGCGACTTGGTCGTCTCCCGTCATTTTCAGCGAAAACGCATGGCTCCTTTCTCCCAGACGAGAGCGGCGAGGAGACCGACACGGGCACCACTGCGCCGTCGTCCCGGCCAATCGTCGCGAATATCGCGGCAACGACTGACGGGTGATCCGCGGCGCGCTCGAGCCATATAAAAACTCCGTTACGCACAGAGCGAGCGAGAGAGCGGTCGAGTGCCATTGTCTCTCTCTCTCTCTCTCTCTCTCTCTCTCTCTCTCTCTCTCTCGAGCGCGCGTGCCTTTGCGAATTAGGTGACGCTCGGCAATTAGTCGCGAGCGCTGCGCGTGCACCGCCACTGCCACTGCGATGCGCGCTGTCGGATCGAGATGAAGAGGAACGCGCGCATCTCTCTTCCTCTCGTTCAATTGCCGATTAGATCCTCTTCGACGGGGATGCTTGGGCTCTTTGTTCTTCTCGTGCAACCATTTAAAGCGTTATGTTTCGAGATGACAGCAGATCTGCACTCTGCGCGAAAAAGAAAGGACGGAAAAAAGACGAGAAAACGTCGAGTGCGCTCTCGTGAAAGATGAGTGGATTACGTTCTATTTTTAACGAGAGAGCATTTTTTTCGCAAAGGAGTTTGTCATATTTACGATTCGCCACTTTGTTTTTTGTCCTTGTCGGAGATCAAATTCCAATTTTTTGTCAGCGTCGCGAAAAACTGTTGAACCGTAAGCTCGGTGATTCATCGAGCGCGAAGAAAGTCATTTCTCAGCGACGTAAAAATTGGACTTTCAGCTTTAAATATCCTAGTGTATTTCGCTGTGACGTCGGACAAATTGCCGCGAATACAAACTCGCACCACTCGCTAACTTCTAAAACTCTAATGTGAACGTTACGCTGTACGTCAACGTTCCTCTAGTGCTCGACTTGTTATCTCGACGAGTTTCGGCAATATTGCAGAAAACCGCCAGCAGCGGTGGCACGGTTATAAAATCGCGAGCCGCGGTTACTCACAAATTATGTCAATGGGTTTGTTGGCCTTGCAAACAATGAGATCGCGAGAAAAATGAATCATGGCTCGAAGGAAAAAAATGCTCTGCTTGCGTGGGATTAGCATATAAAAAACCTCGCGAAGAGAAAACGACGTTGAATCACTCGGTTCCCGGTAAGAATCGACGCGCTCGGCATGCATCACCTCGTCAAAATCCTACCAAATCTACGTGTATATTCACCGAAATATGCGATGCTTTTCTTGGCATAATGATTCTCCTCTCTGATCCTCATGATTCGTCGGCTTGCCAATGTTGCACCTTCAATTCACAGTCCATAACACGGACGCGCGTGCGCGAGTGCACGACGCGCGTTTTTTTTGTTTTTTTTTAATTTATCAATTGATTTATTATTTTTGAACCCTACATAATATTCCGTCCGTCCGTCCGCGATGTGAATCATACGCGTGCACACTTGGCGCGGGTTCGACGCCGACTGCCATGCAACTTTCAAACCGGCGCATGCGTACAGTGCTACAGAGCCTTCGAGGGGACTACGGCGACGATGATGTTTGTCGTCTCTCTGCCTTTTTTTTCTTTCGTTTCGTGGAGAGACGAGACGACGACGCCACCGCAGTGCGCAGAGGACGGAATGATAATGTGTTTGGTTTTTAGGGCTTGGTGTATGTACGCTTTTATACACCATGCATGCGCTTCTTACGCACGCTATTTTTATCACTACCGGCCAGAAAAAAACGTCTTTTTTCTTACGTCGCACTGATGCGTGGATATTTTTCATCAGCGCTGACTTTGGTTCCTTGTTAGTTGGCTTTTTTTGTTTTTATTTTCTTTTGTTTTGGAAGTCTCTTCTTTTTTTTTGGTGTACTTTACTCTGAAAGGTTGTTGAAAAATGCGTACGAGACAGATGCGATTTTTCATTCGAAAACAAGCTTCGGAGGCAATTAACTCTTTTTTTTCAGTCAAATGTAAATTTTTTGCGGGGTCTGGAATATTTTTTTCTCGTAGCATTTACTTTTGTAAGTGGTAATTGAGACTGGTTTCCAAGCTATACATAGTTCAAAGAAAAAAATAAAGGAAGCAAACTACTGCGTTGATGTTCATTTTGTAAATGATGTAACTTTAGCATCTTACGTGCCGGTGGAAAAACATTCGACGGAATGTATTTTTTGACAGTAGCCAAAAATCCTTTAAAGTGGTTAATATATTTATGGGGACAAAGGAAAATGTGCTAAAACGAAAATACACAACGAAATATACGGAGCCCCATGAAAGCGTTAATAAAGCGCATCCACTGGGAAACAAAGATGTTGAAGTTACGCCGAGCGGTCTGCAAAAAACGAGGAAAAGAAGCTTGGCGCATCGCAGACGCACAACTCATCATCACGCGGCAGCGGTAGCAGCAGGCCACCGCTCATCCTCGAGTGCTATGCTTTAAAAGCATCTTTCTGTATAAACTCGCGCTCCGTTCGCGCGTAAAAGCCAGAGAAGAGGGAGAAGACGTCGTAGAAAGGGAGTCGAGTCGTAAGATAACGCTTTTACTCGGAACTGGCGCGCGTCGCCGGCAGATTATTTTCGGAGATAGTCGTTGGGCCGCTCGCGGGCGAGCGATAAGTCGGCCGATCGCTCGCGCGATTTATCGGCACTTCGCTATTTTCGGGCCGCGACGGGAGCCCGTAATTAACAGCTCGATACGTGTCGGTGCCTCGCTTTTGCCGCGCATCGCCCATACGATCGTCGTTGTCGAGTCCGCCATTCGAGCGCGCGCGAAAGCTCGGGGACTCGTCGAAGCCGCGGTCGGTTCGCGGGAAACGAGCTTGCGAACGAATCGGCGCCCGCGGCGAGAGCAGCGCGTAGCCGAGACTCGACACGGCGGACCCACAGGCGTATGTTTATAATCGTCGATAGTCCGCTCCGCGAGATTAGGCTTGACGCGCGCGGCGCGCACACAGGGCCTCGTACTCATCGCCGCGAAGAATGGAAACGCCGATGATAAAGAGGACTACTGTGCGCGTACGCGCGCAGATAAAACCGAATCTCGCGCCGAGCGGGTCGACGAACGGGCGCGCGTCAGCTCGGTCGAGGGAGGAAGAAGAAAGCAGAAGAGCGTCTGCATTCGCTCGAGGGCTCGGATCGTGCCTCGACTTACGCGACCTCTCGGCGGCCGGAGGCTTGCGCTGGCCGCGATCGATACACGCCGTGGCGCGCGCGCGAATCGATCGACACAGGAAGCAGCCGAACGCTCCGATAAGTCGAGATATGCCCGCTCCGAGCGCCCGCGCGTAAAGATAAGCTTATCGGGGACGTCGGGCGACGGGGGAGAGAAGAAAATCACGGCAGCTACAGCGCGCCAGGAAGCGCCGATGGACCGTTTCTCTCCGCCACTGTGCAAGCCGATCGTGCGCTATCGGCTGCGCGCGCGCCCGAGCAGCGCTCTGCCTAATTTTTTCCGCCTATCCCATTCTCGCGCGCTCAATCGTACGCGCGTAGCCTCGGCGCTGAATCTCTTTCTCTCTTGCGCTCCGAGCTTATTCGATTAACTTATCTCGGCAAGGTTTTCGTTTCGATTGACTGGCTTGCGAAAGTGTACTCCGGATCTTTTTAACGATGGCTCCAGATTTTTTCGCGACGATCATTTCGAAAAAAAAGGAAAAAATTCGCTGTTCAGTCCACTAATTCGAGTTACACAATGAGTGTGGTCGTGTTTATGTTCGACAGCGAACGCAATATTATCGGAAAATTATCAAACGACTGCGGCAATAAGTAGCTTTATCGATCGTGAAACGATTTTATTTTGTAAAAGGATTGACCGCTATAGAAATAGACTGGACGCGCAGTACCGCGTGCGATTGTCGCAATCAAAAAAGACGTCATCGGCATTTTAGTATACGAGTCAAGCCAATGCACGGGTGATTGCCGCAGGGAGAGCTTCGGCGAATTTCCACTTTGAATTACCTTTCGCTAAATCCAATTAGTGCCGATTCGCAGGATTGACTATCTGAAAATCGCGGCGCGCCAAAGTCATCGACAGGCACCGCACTCGGCTAATTGAACTTGAGCCGAGCTGCGCGCAAGAGCATCAAACGGTATAAATATTTGACCTCGATTCCCCGTCATCGCGCAGGGCAAATCAGCCAAAAAGCTATACGATGGAAAGGCAGCTCCGACGGCACGTCGCCATAGTTAATTAAAGTACCGCGCGCGCTAAAACCATCGCAAAAAGACGCGATCGCGTGATACGACCGCGCGCGTTCGTACGCTCTGGCAATGTGATTTACGAGCGCGCCACGCGCGCGCATTATATCGTAGACGAGAATTAAGCGTGAATTTATGCTGATTTGGCACTTTGCGCGCGTGTGGCTATACAACTGCCAAATGGGAATCAGGGGGTTAGATGCTATGCGTATGCACTTGCCTAATTGCGCATTGCCATTTATTCGGAATGATCCAGTCGATGATGGTCCTTTCGTACGAGAGTGTGTTAGTTACGACGTTCATTTTTCTCGCGAGCCAGATTTTTTTTGTCGCGCAAAAACAATGTTCGTTTCATTTGCATCGCGATCGATCGAATCAACGTTCGAAACAGAATTCGCGCCTACGCATGAAAAATGCTAATAAAGGGATTACGAATGATACGAATGATACGATTGAAACGCCCGGATCCGGTACATTCTATAACAATGGAATTTCATCAGGCGGCACGCGTAGAGTTTGCATATACAGGGACCAGGCGCGTGTCATTGTATCATCGAAACAATACCTACAGAAGCTGGTAGATACGTATTAAAAATAGATTGTCGATCTACGCCTCCTTCGGATTTTGGAATAAGTCACCGGGCATTTTTCTTGAATTGAACGCCAGCAACGGACGAAATTGTTGATTTAGCAGCAGCAGGACTACTTATTTGAGAGAGAGAGAGAGAGAGAGAGAGAGAGAGAGAGAGAGAGAGAGAGAGAGAGAGAGAGAGAGAGAGAGAGAGAGAGAGAGAGAGAGAGAGAGAGAGCAGTCCAAAGTGGCACGCGTACACAAGCGCGTTATTAATCTGAGTTTTCGCGGCGACGACACTTATAAATAGCCAGCGAAAAAGCTAGACGCGCTGTCGCGCGTGGGCGTATAGAAATAATAAAAGGGCAGCCTGCGCGTATATTTAGCGCGGATTCCAGCGCAGCTTGTGTATTTTCGGATTTGATTGCGGCTCGCGCGCCGTTCGATAGGGGTTGACGACCGCGCGACGCCCTCGCCGATAAATCGGACAAGGGCTGCCGAACGCCGGCGCCCCTGTCGATGCCTCGCGCGCTTTCTAAATATAATTGGCACTTCGCCTCACGAGCGCGAAACGACGGATTTCCGGACAAGTACGAAGAAAGAGAGAGAGAGAGAGAGAGAGAAAGCTTACGAGCTCGAGAGATGTCGCTGGTCATGCCAATTTAAAGCTTTGGCGCGCCGCGGCTATTACACAATTGCCGTGTACGCAATTGTCGCGATTTCGAGGAGAATTTCTCGAACGACCAAAGTGACAGTTTCCGCTCGGTCGCGGACGATAAATATTCATTCGCGATTCGCATCTCCCTCGCGTCTTTAATCAATTCCGAGCGAGCCCGCGGAATGTGTTAACGGCGCGCGCAAAGGCGCTCCACCCGGTACGACGGCCATTACTCACCGACTCGTCGGCTGGTTTTGCCGAGTTTCGGACCATCGTTCTCGTCGGCTCGAGGCTCGACGATCAGGTCTTGTTCTTGCTGTTGCTGTTGTTGTTGCTGTTGTTGTTGCTTGAAGCTGAGAAGCGCCGCGCACCTCTCCTGGTCGAAGAACGTGCCGACCGAGTGACGGCGGACTCTTGGCTGCGAGCTGGTGCGGTGCCTGCCCATGCTCGAGCACGACGCTCTTCCCTGCATTAGTCAAAGCTTACATTTTCGCGATGCTCGTTCGAGTAGCGCGGAATAAAGTTCGTTTTATTTTCGGTCGGCAAACTGGAAGAAAATCGATCGTTCTCACCGTGTGCGGCAGCGTCGAAGTGAGATTATAGTACGAACGCTCATCGTCAAGCTCGTCGATGGGCACAGTGGTAGCTTCGCTGCCGCAATCGGAGTCGCGCTCGAAGCGATAGTAGTCGTTGTCCTCGGTCCGCCGAGACGACGTCAGCGAGGTGCTCGCGCTCGCGGTGTCGCTCGGCAGACCGCAGAAGATCATGTCCATGTTCAGAAGCTCGCTGCTCGACTTGAGAGTCTGGCGCCTTCGGGATCTGCCGCAACCTTCGATCCACGATCTGATCAACCATCAATATTTCGAATAAAGCTGTTTCTCATTGTGGATCGAGTCGCTCGTGCGTTCATCCGCGATCGTAAATCGTACGTTTGACAGTCGTCGAAGTAAAGATAACTTTTTAATACCGTTATTTACGAGAGAAAAATTCCCCTTGCCAATATATATCGAAAGGGAATATACTCGCGTAAAAGTTTCCGTGCATAGGCAGATCTCCGCAGAGCACATTTTTATCGATCGAGCTCGATGCCCGTGCAATCGTAGTTTTCCTTTCTCTTATTTTGCTTTTCATTGAAAGCGGCTTTCTTAAGCCCCTTCGAAATGCCATCAGTTTTTCGCGTGACGCGCGATATGTGCAAGATCAATTTTTTTTTTTTTTTTTCTTCTTTCACGCCTCGCGTTTGACCTAGTTAAAGGCACTTCGTGTTGCGCGGGGGAAATTTGCATAACAGCGATCGTGTCGCGACGGCCGAAGTTCATTCTTCATCAGAGCTGTAAATTTTTGAGAAGCAATCAGCTCCGTTGAATATTTGATTAGAGTGTGCTCTTTGTAGAAGAATGAAAGATCGTCGGCACGTTTGCGTAAGCACGTGCCAGCGCGTCTATCTGTAAATTACCTGTGCGAGCACGCGAGCATGTATAATCGAATTTGCACAGGTGTTCACAGCCCCGTAAGAATGACCGTAGCATCCCAGCCCGACAGGCGACTAAACACCCGGCAGCGACTTGCAATTACGCTTAATCCTGTGCAACGCTGTTATCATAGATCGGCGCACGCAGAGACTAAACATAATAATCGACTATAGGCGTACTCACCTGTTATTGAGGTAATACGAGGGCGGTGCAATGTCGGATGGCCTTGGCCCACCGTTAAGGAATTCGAGAGTTCTCTCGCATTCGGAGTTGGTGCTCGCCGACCTGAATAAATTCCTCAAACTTCTTCTCTGGTTCGTCGTCGTCGTCGTCGTCGTCGTCGTCGTCGTCGTCGTCGACGCCGTGCCCGCAGTTGGCGCTGGCATTGACGGTACCCTCGGCTGACTGCATGCCGTTAATACGGGCGCCGTGCGCGCTTTGCTCAAGGGCTTGCTACGACGAAAGAAACCGCTGAAGCGCGCTGTCGCTACGTTGCAGCTGCCACCGCTGCCGTTGCTGTAGGTTGACGAAGATGTACCTTGCTGCTGCTGCTGCTGTTGCAGCGAGAAGTAGGAGGGATTGTCTGTTGGCACATCGAGAGACATTTCGTCGGTCAAAGCCTGCGACGCGCGTTCGAGTTACGGTGATTCCGAGCATTTGTCAGGGACGCGGTGTGGAATGCCGTAGCTCGCTTGCCATCGAGAGCTCCACTGAATTTGCGAGTTTCGAAATGGAATCATTGATTCAGGCTTCGATCAGTTTTAAATGAACGTTGCGGCTGCAGCCAACGCAACGGATATCCCTTGTTAATGGAATTTCAGTGCAACGTTATAAACAGAATGAAGACGGAAATACTCGTCGTTGGTTTTCTCAATAAATAAAAATGGTGTCGAGAAAAATAGGACATCCGGAGCTGAGCCGATGTACGAATGGAAAGTGTATGAGAATTCGCTAGTTGCACGCCATTCGTCGGCTTCAATATCCTTTGAAGTGATACAGTTCTTTATATTTTGGTTACGCGGCAAAACGCGAACGCGATTAGGGTCAATTGTTATAAATTGAAAAGGTTTTGCTTCGCGTTATACGTGTAAGTCTGCCGCTGAGCTCTCCATACACTCTCGTTGCTCTTTTCTCCTCGGTATGCTTGTTACCGAGAGAGGGGAAGTCGACGAGTTTTTATTCGTCAATTGAGCTTGATAATTCGATCAGTGAGGTATCTAAAAAGAAAAACAATGTAGCCTTTGAAGAGTCGTTGTCGGGCATAGGCAAAGATTCATTTATCTCGGCGTTCCGCGGCCAAAGACGGACGCGACGTCGATGCTCGAACGCTGGCACTGCAAGGACCAAGGCCAGCTCTTCGCGTCGGTGAAATTTGAGCCTGTCGGGGCAGCGTGCGCAGCCTGAAAAATCTCGGATGAGCCCTTGACGGGATTCCAGGACGGGCGAGCGCTATGGCGTGAGTTCGAGGAAAAGACAAAGAAAAAAATCCGCGTCGCGTGGTCGGCGGCGCGGCCCGTTCGGCAAACAAACTTGTTTGTAAACTCTACAGCCAGCGGCGAAGTTCGCGCGCATAATTTCCCCGTAGCCGACCCAATTTCACGCGCAGCATTAAACTTGGTCTATAAGGGCAAAATTGCAATTGGAGTAAGCGAACGGCGGAGCACTGTTGTCGACAGTTTCTAATGCGAAAAGGGAGAGCGAGTAAGGGACCGGACGTCATATCATTGTATATTAAACGAGCGTCCTCTCTCTCTCTCTCTCTCTCTCTCTCGCTGGAAGAGATTATGTGCCGACAAATGCAATGCTGAAAAACAGACGAGCAAAAGATGCGCCGGAAGCGCGTCGTCGACTCTGCTTTGAATTAAGGAAGCCACTCTTTTTCTTCGCGTCGTTTTCTCTCTCTCTCTCTCTCTAGGATCTATAGGCGTCAGGGCTCGAGGTTTATTATTAGCTTACGAGCGATTGCGCAGTCAAACCGATTAAACAACGGCCACAAGAAACTTTTTATCGGGCAATTTCGTTAACAGCTGCCGCGAAATAGTTAATAGTTAGCTTATCGGATTCGCGAAGTTGGTCAGAGAGCGGATGAACTTTGATGAAATTGATGTTAGTTTAGCCGACGAGGCTTCGCATGCCGCGCAACGTACGACGTAACGTCATAGAGAACCTGGCAGATCGAAATCCGGCGATCTGCCTCGAGCTCATTGCTGCCGCGTAATTTCAGTTGCGGTGTAATGCTTCGAATTAATATTATACGCATGAGCTTTCCATCGAAAGTGCCCGTGCGCGAGATCGTGCAGAGCAAAGTCTCTCTCTTGGAGGATTTCCCCGAGGAATTTTCCGAGCTGCTTGACACTTGAAAAAACCAAAAATTACCCATGCGCGTAATCGCGCGTAGAAAATCAATCGATGCTTGCAGAATCTTGCCTTCGTTGCAACATCAAAGTCGGGCACGAAAATGCCCCATGGCCAAGAGAGGAGAAGGCTTGATCAAAGGAATGCCCCGAAAGATCTGATTACCAACAGGACTCGCATATAATGCGCGCGAAGCAGCCTCGTTTCTCATTCTTTTCACAATGCGACAGACATCAAAGAAGCAGCGCGACAGCAAAATTTGCTTTCACGCCCGGAGGGAGGGGCTTTAATAAACTGCTCGAGGAAGCCGTCTTTGTGGATTCCTTCCAGTTTATTGCGATAATAACGATGGTGCTTTCTCGCAGATAGACTCTTTTTCCAATTTGGAGCATTGGGTACTTTTTCTTTTCTTTTTTTAAAGAGCGAATGGCGTTTCAATGTCAAGAATTTTCTAATAAAATTTCGTTCTGTGAGTTCTTTGAATCAGTGCCAAATTCAATCTCAAATGGCGCTTTCGAGCACAGCGATAGCGTAAAATTTAACATTCTATCGAGCCGAGATGTGTAAAGTCCATTTCGAAAATTCCATTTCCTCCGACGCAGCTCGCTTGCATGGATTACAAAACTTGATTTATGATGAGTTGCTGTTTTGCGCGCAACACGCGACGTAAGAATGATGTTATTAGATAAAGCTTTTTCGTGTTTATTTTCGAAAGAGAAAGAAAAAAAAGCAATGGGACATCGTAAATATGTTAGGTCCAATTAAATTCTCAGAGCGAGACACGTACGTTGTAAATCCCGAGAGCCACTACGAGGGATCTTATCGATTCATCGACGAGTATTTTTAGGAAAAACAAGACAACACTTTCGTCGAGCTCTCGTGAATTGAAGCTCGCGCGCCTGAATCCCTCGGACGACAACGAGTGTCGAGCTCCGAGGAGAAAAATACGCGAATCGATAGGTGTTCGCTCGGGCACCACGGGGCTGCGAGGAAGCGCAGAAGGAGGAGAAGAGGCGCGCAGAGAGCGAGAGCCGATTGCGATTGCGAGGCGCGTCGGACGAGGAAGCGAGTGCCGCGTATCGGGCATTTTAAAGTAATCCCCGCGGCGATTAGGTGCCGCGGCGCGCAGTCGAGGCGAATGGCAAATTAGCGTTTCGCCGCGGGAATAACAAGCGGCGGCTCAGCGGCGGCTCAGCGGCGGCTCGCGATGACGCGCGGCGCCGTGATTAGCGAGCGCGAGCGAGACGAATCGATGAGAGGTCGCAGCCGCCGCCAGCGGCAATTATATCCGAGCGAGTTTATCGAACTTAATGGGGAGCTCGCTGCAGCTGCGCCCGTACGCGCGCGCGTGCGCCAACGCGAGAATTGGATGATGGAATTCTGATTGGATTACTTAATTATTTCATTGGCTGCAGTTAATGCTTGGATCCGTTAGCCAAGCGCGCTTAACGGCTTTTCGCTTTAATGCTCGCCGAGTGCTGTAACTACGCTGCGGAACAAACAGAACAAGCAGGCTCGACTTACCGACAGCCATCCTTGAAGATTTCGAGCTTCCCACTTCGACCAGCTCCGATTTTATTTCTGAAACATTCATGATTAATGCTGTTATTGTAACAATCATTTTCAATGACCTTCCTTCTTTGCGCAATGCTTTATCGGAAGCACTCGCTCTTCGCGGTACGCCGAGCGACTTTTTACAAAGTAATACCCGCGAAACATCCAAATCGAACGAAAAATATCAAAGTCCAATGCGAGCCGATTGAATATCGAGTTGTGCATCAAGTCTTTTGGTATTTCTTGCGTGAAAAGAGAAAAGAAATATTGATCGACGAAAGAACGAACAACGCGGCAAACTTGAAAGGCCCACGCGCTGCATGCACCTGCACTTGCGTCGATGAAAAAAAAAACGATAAAGAGCATGAGGGGAGCAGGTGAAACTGTATGCGATCTTCATTCACCGTTCTGGAAATAGTCCTGCAATACCCCCTCCCCCCCGGCTGTATTTATAGATCAGCTGTGCGCTCGCTCAAGCTTGCGTATATTGTGTCTAGTCGTCCATTCAGCGCTCGATCCGCAGCTGGCTGCAGGAATCCAATCATTCGCGTCACGTATTTTTGCCGGCCCACGATGAATCCCTCACGACGGCTATCTTTATCATCGGTACGCTATTGTGATGTCCATCCAGCGAGGCGCTTCTTTTTTTCCGACCCGGAAAGGGAAAGAGGCGTATTTGTTTTGCGCGCAAGAAAGAAACGAAAAAAAGCCGAGCGAAAAAGAATCTAACGAGCCGTTAATTTTTTCTCGTGTATCCTCGAGGAATTAAACTCGCGCGCGCGCGCGCTCGCTCGGTGAAACTTTAATCCACGAGTGCTTTCGGTATTCCCGTACTCGCAGTCGCGCACGCGCGTGCAGAAAAAAGAGAAACGAATAAAAGGACGAATAAAAGACCAAAACCTTGACACGTCGCAGTTTTTCGCGTACCCCCGTTCAAGTGCGCCCGTGCGGCTCGTGAAAAGAAAAAAAGGAAAAGGGCGTTCGGAGCGAGAGTTCATTTTAAAAGCGAACGCGAGCTTCTCGCGGTTAGTTGAATTGCGCGCCTAGCGACGGGTCTGTCTGGTCTCCGAGAATTAAATATTTCCCCGTCGTATCGCAATTGCACGCGGATAGAATTGCCAATAGTTTCTCGTGCCGCGTGCCCACCTGCACTTTCTCCGCGACTGTTCAAGGATGAATTGCAAATTTGCGCGACAATTCAACTCCGCGCGCGATCGCAACTTCTTGCTTTATGTGCAATTCAACGTAATATACTTGTATAGAAGACGTTGACGCGTATGATTGTTGTCAAGCCGCGTCTTTTAAAAGAGCAACACGACATGCTTCTCATAATCACATAGCTTTCCACATTAGCGTAATACGCGCTTTTGTTCTTTCCCAATTGAGATATTTCGTAGGATTTGTTAGCGCGGGCTTGTAGCATTGGCGATTAAACGAATAGCAGACACACGCCAGCACACAGTTATTCTATTCCCGTCACAAATACACTCTAATAGCTTAGTCTAATCGTACGCTGGCAATTACAGAAGGTGCAGGCTGACGGCAAGAGACATACCACGTCGCCACATAACCGGATCTCCCTCGGGACTTTCACTGAGTGCCGCTTCAGGCCCGATAGCTTTCTAACTTTGGGGGGCTGAGTTCTCGCCCTTGCGCCCACGTTTTCCACTCGATTTTCCTTAAGCTAATACTTATCCACTCTCAAGTAAATACTACGACTCTCTCGCACAAACACAACATACACTTTCACAATATTACGAGTGTTACGTCGACAAATTTCAATTGTCAATTCCAATTCTTTATCCAATTTACTAATCTTTCACATATTGAAAAAAAAACACTCCTGCTACTTCTACTTTGACCCACATCCGTTTGGTATCACTAGGACAATCAGAATACACATAAATTGCAGTGATTTTTCTCTGTTAATTAGTTTCTTCTATTGTACACGTCGCGCATAGCACAGTTATTTGCATGATTAACGATCACAATTTTCCTCCGTCGTCCATAAAAAAGCGAGGCAAACTAGAAGGTAAACTCCGCTCAGATTTCCTTGTTATAAATAAAGAAAACCCTTCGCCACGTGTTATTCGTCGCGAGAACAATGATATTCACTGGAATAAAATGTCGGATGCTCCGTCGAGGAAAGACACTCGAGTAGCCATCCAACATTGGAAAAGTAAGGAAAAAAAAAAGAGAGAGAAATACAGATAAAGCGCAACAACCAGCAGCAGCAGTCGTAGTAGTAGTAGTAGTAGTAGTAGTCGTATAGTAGCAGTAGTAGAAGTCGAAAGCGAGAGAGCGCGAGTTGATTGCACGCGCGTTTGGCTTGTGTCTATTTTAAGCCACCCTTCGCCGCTGCCGCTGTCAAGCTTCGCGCGCGCACGGTGCGAGCTCCGAAGATTTTCTGGCGAAGGGCGACGGCGTTGAGATTTTCGTCGTTGCGCAATCTTCTGTTTTTCTGTTTTTTTTTTTTTTTTTTTATTTCTCTTTTTTTTCGTTTTCGTCCGTTTTTTCCCCCTATCAATCGCAACTTTTACGCTACTTTATCTGTCTTCGTTTTTATTTCTTACTCACCCCACCGCCTTTTTTTTATTAAAAAAGAAGGGAGAAGAAGAAGAAAACGCATATTCTAAAGTTAGAAAGCGACGAAGGGCCTCTCCACCTGCGCAATCACGGGCGCGTGTCTCCGGCTGTGCTGCAGCCGCAGCTGCGCCTACGCGCTTGTTGTATTTTTTTCCTGTAGCGTCTCTTGCTCTGCGAGCGTCAATCGACGCTCTATTTATGGCGCGATAAGGGATGGATGCTGTTGCTGCTTATGCTGCTGCTGTTTGTTGTCGCACTTGATTTACGGCCGGCTGATAATTTTTAAATCGAACGATGCACCGCACACAATTAGCGTTTGTTGATACAGTGACTGTGACTTTCAATTATCATCGAGAGCAGACGCTTATTATTACTGCCGCAAGAACTAATTTTGTAATACACAAAGAAAAGAAAATTTAGTAGTGTACATGCGCATTGACTGAGGCTGCAAACAGTCTAAAATAAATTCACACGACATTATTCCGTCGCCATTCATTGGTCATGAGCAAACACAGCTCGACCAAACATAGCAGCGGCAAATTTTGGCATAAACTCGTGATACGATAAGGTTTACAGGACAGGAAATGCACAGACAGCGCGTGATACATAAAACAACAATATCCTGAACGGCTACGACAAAATTTCCATCGGCGTAACCCCACGCGCACACGTCATTTAGTGCCAGTCGTTAAATTTGTGTCACACCTTCCATTATCGTTAATTTCCTGTTTGTCACTCTCCGAATCCCTAAACTCTCCCTCGCACGAGACGCGCGATGATCGTCGCCGACACAGCCGTAACAGCAATAGCAGCAGCAGCAGCAGCAACAGCAAACTCTCGACTTCGCGATGCGTAACCCCTCATCCGTTTTTGCATTACAATCATTCCGACCGCGCAAGTGAGCCTCGCGTTCGTATACTCCACAACGGCAAGACTCCGGTGCGCGCATGCCTGCGGCCTACCGCGGCTCGGACCACGCGAATTTCCGCGGCGATTCGAGCTTCGACAATGAGAGTGCGACCGCGGTGTGTCAGCGCGTCGCGCGCGAGTCAACTGCATAATCGACCGTTCGTTCGGCGATCGATGCTCGTTGGACGGACGTCATCTCGCTCGCTCCGCATTGTCGATCGATACACCCACATCCGACAGCGCGAAAGGATGACCGTGCGACGTCCGAGGGGCGTCTCGGTGATGCGCGCCGAAGAGCCACGCAGAAAAGCCGCGAGGACCGCACGAGACCAGCCTAATTACGGCCACGTGCAGCCGCACAAAAACGCGCGCGGCCACCATTCTGGAAATTGCCTCTGGTAAATCTGGACGGAGCGCGGTTTAAGGTCACACACGCACACAGGCGAAAGGACGCCGAAAAAAATAAGAATGGGAGGAGAGAGAGAGAAATGTGTCGCGTGCTCGAAACGTGTGCAGCAGGGTAATGCACGTGCTAGCCAGATGCCGCGCAGAAAGAATGAGAGAGAAAGAGAGGCCGAAACTGGCCACGTCCGGCCACCGCTCGCTTCCACATACAGACAATCTCTCTCTCTCTCTCTCTCTCTCTCGAACGTCTGTGTTTGTTTATTTGTTTTTTCCTATAGTCAGAAAGAGAGACAGAGAGCGAGAGAGAGAGAACGGAAATTGCAAGCGCGTGATGTAACGTTAACGAGCAAATTGCCCCCTACATACGGCGTGATTAGGTAAGTGATATTCATGCCGTGTGCGTGAGAGATTTTTTTTTCGCCCATGCGGGTGTTTGCGGGGGGAGGGGGATTCAAGAATACATTTTGGAAGTAGGTAAGCCCGTGTGTATTATTTGTTTTGGGGAGGCTCTACGTTTATTTGCGAAAGCGTGAGAGAGGGGAGAGATGTTCAGAGAATTCTAGCAAGCCAGACCTGTGTGTGTATATGTTAGTTTTGAAAATAATGTTTCTTCAGATGGCGTTTTTCAATAAATATCGTATAGTTTGTGTTAATAAACAATGATTTCTTCGTAGTAGTAACAATCGTTTTTCAGAATATGAGTTTGTTGCTCTGAAATGTATTTATAGACACAAACTCGACAAACAATTTTCCGAACAAATCAAAAATTTTTATTAATAAACACACGCGCGCGCACGTACACACGCATACACGGTTCACGTAGAGCACAAAGTATATTGTCGTGTTTACATTGTGAAAATGCGCGGAAAACGTCATTGAAGGCATCGCTAAAATCTGTCGATCTCGAAATAACGCCAATCATGCGGTGTTAATAAAAAAAGAAAAAACGCAGACGATAGTTTAGCCCCACGACGATGCCAGAGAGATGGAGAGAGAGAGACCTCGAGCCGATTATAAAGTTCTAAATAGCCTTTCGCATGATTATATTGTATTGGCCTCGATCTGCGCCGGCGACTCGGCATGAAAATCGTTGAGAAAACACTCACCGTGTAAGATCTCAAAGATTGCTCATTGTTTCCTCGTGAACGAGAAGAAGCTCGGCTTTGGCGGATTGTCCCACGTAACGCACACGCACCGAACCGACTCGACGAAGACTGACCGCGCGCGCGGCTAAAGTAGCGGCAGCCACCCACACTCTCATCTCCGTGTGCCCGCTTCGTTCATCTCTCTCTCTCTCTCTCTCTCTCTCTCTTTGCAGCCGCTTCGTTTTTAGACGCGCTGCTGGCTGCTGCTGCTGCAGCGCCCTCGAGAGACTTTATATTGTTTACGTATATGCCGATACGCTAGCGCGACACACGCGGAGAGACGTAGCTTACTTGCGTTTGGCAAAAAGTATACGCCAGGGGTATCCGAGCTTTTGGCTCTCGTCAGTTAAACCGAGTCCGCGTGACGGAGCTTCGCCTTTGATCGCAGACGCCTTTACGTTGAAACGTCCACACCGGCCACTTTGCAAAATGACGACGAGCTAGAAAACTGCGCCGCGGAGATTACAATGTGCCGGACGCGTTTTATTTTCGTAGCGCGTTACGCAACCCAGCGTGGCGCGACGCACGAGCAGATATGAAAGCTTTATCAGATAGGTCATTCGCATATACTCACGGCAATTAAAAATCGCGGTCCGATGAACGGCCGCCCGTAGTCGGCCGGGTCGTCGCAGTCCTTACTTTTCCGTTCGCCATGAAGCCGATGCTTTGTCCGCCATCTAGCCGAGAGCACGGCCGCGATACGAAGCGCGACGACGATCAAAGGAGATGGGCCGCGCAGAAAAAGCGAAGCGAGACGCTCTCTCGACACGCGCGCGCGTCCGCAAAAAAATGTGCGGCTTTTTGGCTGCCGAAATTGCGAGGAGCGCGTGCTCTCTCTCTCCGTGCAGCGAGAGACCGACTAAACGAGCCTCTTCCTCTCTCTCTCTCTCTCTCTTCAACTGTGCTGCTCGTTCTCCGACTACTCGCGGCTCTTGGCCCGCCAACTGCATGCTGTACTCTCGTGCTTTCAAAGGGGAAGGGGTCGCGCTGCGTACGCACTCTCCGTGTCTCTGTTTTCTCTTCTCTCGCTGCGCGGCCAAGGAAGTACACGCCGACATTCCCTTTGTTTTCGGCCACGATGATGGCTTCTAATTGAGATTGTGACTCGAGAGAGAGAGAGAGAGACTATTTCTTTACATCAGGCCGGCTGTTTTATTGGATGTGATTATTAAATAATTGGGGAATCAAGGCAAGACTTATGTCTTTTTTTGTAGGGGAGAAGGTGTCTCGTAAACTAGATTTGATTTCTATGATGGAGCTTGATTGAGATTTGGGCATTTTCTCTAGGGGCTATTAACTTAGAGTATCGTAACAGTTGTTAAAATTTCCATTTTTTCGGATCATTTGAGCACTTAAAAATGCAAAATATCTCGTATTTCTCGATCAGATTGTAACTTTTGCAGAACTTTTAGAACATTATGAGCTGTTTTTAAGTTTATCAATTTCTAACTTTATGTGGGCTCTTGTAAACTTTAAAGATTTTCACCAGCACTTAGTCTGATCTTTAAATGCAATTCTGCAGTTTCATAAAAAAATCACAATTACTTGAGTTTACGATAATAATTTATCAAGTTGAGTGGATTGAAGTTGATTCAATAAAAACCTTCAATATGTTTCATCCACATCTTGACGTGAATGACGACTTCTTTTTAGCAAAATCAACAAGTAATTACTGGATTTTTCCTAGGATACGACCTTCAAAGTGAAAATAAGAAGATACAATTTCTATGACTTAACAAATTTTAGGTTTCTAAAAATCAAGTTTCACTTGCTGGTAATTTATTACCTATTACTAATAGTTTTCAAGATTTTAAAGTGAACATTAAAAATGAAGAAATATAAATATATGGAAACTCTGTATAGTTTGAATCAAGGAATAATTTCATAAAGATTTTAATTACAATCAGAATTTCAGTTCGTTCATTGAATTTGGTTTACTGTAACTTTTTATTCGATTTGCCTTTAATATTCAGGTTGAATAATGTGAATTATGTATGATAAAAAATAAAGAGAATACAACAATACGTTGTAACTTTTGTTTATTAATAGTTTTACTAAGAATTAAAACGAAACTTTTCAATGATTTATTTAAAACTTCTACAGTAATTTCGTGGAAATAAAGATATTTTCCCTTAATTTCAAAAAGTTTCATTGGCGCATTGTATATGATATTTGACGCATTAATTTTAACTTTACTATAACGAAACGTTGACGTTAATTTTCATGATTATAACGCGAGCTGTTCGCAAGAATTCCCTTGAAAAGATCGCAAGTAATCCGTGCTTAGCTTGATACATCGTTGAAATTCGTTGGCAGAGACTCGAAATAGCACGTTGCGCACTGTTAAAGTTCTCTCTTACGATCTGCGAAGCGTTGAAGTAAATGCATGCGACTAACAGTCGGCTCTTTCGATCGTTCGATCGGTAACGACATTCTACTATCCGTCTAAATTTTCATCGCACCCCGAAGATTTTCATGACGCAGCAATTTGCTTCGCATTAACATTCCGACGGGGCTCCTCCCCTTGAAATTGAACGATCCCAAATAGCGATTTATCGGATTCGCAAGGGCTTCGAAGCCACCTTTCCGGGCAATCGCATTAGCGGAAAATATTCGATCGGCTGCCGTGGTATGGCAATTTTTCCGTGCTTTGTATTTTCATAGCCAATTGATTTATTTTTTTTTGTTCGCTCGTGTCGCTCGAGTGCGAGAAAAAAAAAACTCTAATAAAAGCGAATTCCCGGGAGTTGCGCAATCGCGCGAGATAACAGCAAACCTTACACCGTGGAAATATTGCGAACTCGCAATAACAACGTTCATTGCCGCCAATGAAGAGATGAAAAATACGCGGAGGTAATTAAAAAAGGCGCTAAATACGTTTGTTGTTGCTCCCATCGTAAAGAAAAATTAATAATGAAGGATTGCGCAACCGGGAGATAGCCGCAGATTGAAATTGATATCCAATCTCTTTATTGGCAATATTCCCGCAGCAAATGCCATTACTTTTTAATCAGACCATCTTAATAAAGTAATCACAGCTAGGCCTCGCCGAAGCCGCGACTGCAGCTCTCGTCCTTGCGGTCGGTACAACAGAGACCTGTTGGGTACACAGCCCCCCTCCCCTCCCACGCCTCCCACTTGTGAAGCGCGCTTACAAGGTCAGCAATGATCTTGGTGAAAGTTGTTCGGCGCTGCGGAGATCATTGCTTGCTGGAATTCTCACGGGAATGCTCGCTCGAACAGTTGACGTTGGATGCTCTCGCGGTTCGCATAACCGCGGCTTCGTCGGGCTCGCAACGGCAAGGCTGAACGGCTTCGATTTGAGTGCTCGAGTGCAACGTGGCGCGCGCGCCTGCCGCAGTGAGAGTGATTAGTTTTGATTATCGGGTTGTTGTTGTTGCTCGCGCGATGGCTCGCTTCTGTGGCGCGCTCCGTCAGTCGCGATAAGGCCCTGACCGTTTCTGAAAATCACGACGTCCAGATGAGTCCGGCAACGTGGAAAGAGCCATTGCTTTTTCTTGCTCGCGACGAGCTAAACTTTATTCAGAAGTGAATCAAAGCAAGTCGCGCGATAAATCACATAACCCACATAAATTTTCTGGCTATACTACTTTCTCCCCCACCCCGAAGAATTAAGTACCTCCGATAAAGACAAATCTCATACTCTTGCGTAATAATTTTACTTTTACGAGACTAGTCTTCGGTAGATGATACATCGTTGGAATTATTAACGTTACAGTCCGCAACAGACGAAATCACTTATTTTCGTTGGCCTAAATAAGTTACGCAAGACGTGTTTGAATACACATTTTTCAACTTTATGCCCGATGATTCGCGCATGTGCACTCGCATATATATCAAACACTAATTGGACGTATGTACAGAGGCGAATGATCGCGAGTTTGGCATGAGCTGCACAGCGCTCGTCTGACGAGCTTTGGAAGCTCTCGGCAGCGAACGGCTATTTAAAAAAATGATTAATAATTCGAATAGGCGCATTCGGATGAAACTGCTGTAGAAATTGAAACGGAAATCCGTCGGAATTGAACGGTTTCTTGACCGGTCGGACGGAGCACTCGACAACTCGATTCTTTGCCAGGCGAATCAAAAGCAAAAGTGCAAGGGGCTGGGACTAACTGGCGTGACGTAACAGGTGCAGGCGAGCCGCCGCTAAGGGGAAAAGATCGCGCACGAAAGTGCCAGGGATGCAGTCGATCGAAGGCAGCGCAAAGTGAATCGGGCGCTGGTACACAGCTGCGCGGGGCCAGAGAGCGCCGCGGCGGCGTATCGATCCCCTATCCGCACGCTTCGCGCTCGCGTCTGTCGTCCGTCCCTCGTGGGCGAAATCTTGATTGCGCAAGCGCGCGCGCCAAGCCTGTGCGATATTTCCCGGGACACTTTTCTCGCGACTCGCCTCAGTTGGTGTTCGGGAGCCAGAGTGCGACCACTGCGACAACGAACAGACGCACGTGATCGCGCGGCGTGTGGCTCGAGGTGCCGTTGAAAAAGCCACCCCCTCTCCCCGGCCGCCCGCGCGAGCATAGTGATTGTCTCAGGCAACAGGTGACTTCTGTATCAATTCCGCTTGCACGCTGACAACATGAGCGTCGACGACGTGCTCAATTACAAGCCAAACGAGGAGGAAGACTTCTACGCGCTGCTCGGATGTGACGAGTCGTCTTCGGTAAGCGCTTCTTCACTTTTCTGCGGGCATACGAAATTGTAGCGCCGTCGTTCCATTTCGCCTCCCTGTTATCGTTGCTGATTAATTTTTCCTAATGGATTTATTACGCAAGCAGTGAATTACAATGTACTTTGCGGTTCAGCTTTGAAATAAAGTTAAGCGTCGGCGAGTGTTTACAAAAGTTGCCGCGCAACTTTATTACGCGAGTTTGAGAAACTAAACATTTCGCGAAGTTTAAATCAAGTTTCAATCCTTTTCCAGCGAAAGTCATTGCTGCTGGTACAGCTCTACTCCGATAATTACTGAAATTTTTAATTTACTCGTCAAAAGTCTTCGAGGCATGTTGACTTATCTGCTCGTTCAAACAGAAACGCGATTATGATAAAGACGGCATGTGCTCTTTGAAAAGACATTTTTTTTATCGAGAGAAGAAAGGCAAACAACGAGGCGCTGATTTATTGGACTTCAAATGGGAATTGAAGTCGAGATTAATGAGCGGCAAGCTTGCGGGCATACGAATGAACGAGAAAAAAGGAGCCCCCCCCCCCCGCGCGATCTAAGCTGGAAAATACGTCGGTGACTTTTGTAAACGGCCTTTAAAGTGTATTTCAGCTGCGCGCTGCGTATGCTAAATTCTCGCCAAAGCTTAAGCGCGCAATCCTCTTAGCATCATTTTTGCGGCTCGATGTGGGCAAGCGCAACTTTCATCAAAACCCATATTGCACGCGGGAGCCCACATTTTCCGCAATCCCTTTCAAAGAATCAACGTCGACTTTGCTGCCGAGAGACTGGGATTCGTGTAATGGCTTGGGAAATCCAATAACGCCTACGGGTCGCGCAGCTGAATTTTTTTTCGTTCTCAAAAAGAGATTCATATTAGCGGATAATTGACGTTGGCCGATCGCATCGTTTTACTTTTTCCGCGACTGGCTGCGAACGAGGTCGCGCGCGCGCAATTTCCTTATAAACCAATGAAAACTAACGACCTTCTCGCAGCTCTCGAGATTATTCATTTGCGCGAGTTGCACACTTCGTGCATTATACTCTTAAACGCCATAATTTTCGATGCGGAAATAGCTTCTATTTTTCTTTATCCGATATGCGTGTGGCTCAGTGGGTGCATAGAGACTACGTAGATTATTGACTTTTTTAGTTTGGAGGAGATTGTTAATTTCAATGATTTCTTAGTAGAGGTATCTACGCAAGCGGATAAATAAGCTGCTGTTAACTAGGAAAAACTCTACACGTAACAAGTGCGTGTACGTTTCTAAGTCGGAATTATTCAATTAATTGGCTCGTGCAATGTTTGAACAAAAAAAAAAAAAAACAATTATTAACGAGGTGCGCTTTCATTCGACCGTTAAAAGTTGAATAATTCATGAGACTTGGTGCACTTTGTTACAAGGAAAATTCGCTCATTAGCACGGTATAAGCGTCCGTAACTAACGATCTACCTTTGCTGTTTTCTTTTTATCTCTGCAGGTTGAGCAGATCACTGCCGAGTACAAGGCACTCGCGCTGCAGTATCATCCGGACAAAAACGAGGGTAATAAGGAAGCTGAAGCCAAGTTTCAACTGCTCAAAGTAAGTATCGTTTAATTAGCCGCTATGTCGACAAATCGGTTCGTAATCTTTCAATTATTTCATGATCTGGCGGTTGTCATCGACAGCGGTCGATCAATTATCATCATAATTGAACTTTGCGACTATTTTTTAATTCATCGATTTTATCACCTACTCAAGTTCGCGCACAATTACGCGGCTCTTACCACTATCGATCCTCGTGAACGTCGTCGCTAATGGGTGGGGCGAACAGGGGGGGGGGTGAAAGGAGATGAAAATTAAACCTGTACAGTGACGACGAGCGATTAAAAACTTAACTGAATGTGCATTTGCAGGAAATGATTTGACATGCGAATGAACAATATATTGAAACGACGTTAAGGAAAAAATAATATTGAAATTGGCCATACAGTAGCCAAAATTACTCACACTGATGCACTTTCGAAGTAATTCACAGATGTACAGGTTCGAGTGTGTAGGGGTTCTTTGTAAAGACGCATCGAAAAGTGGCGATGCATTAGATCCATGGAAAACCGAATTCCCGGATAACAGTCTTGCGTGGACCTCTTCAACGTGCACGAGAAAATCAAAAGGGGTCGGGCTTGACGAAACGGCGCGCATAACGAAAGCCCATATGCGTGTGCGTATGGGTTGGTTTGCGTAGTCAAACCAACATTCTCGAGAGGTTAATCCTTGTCCCGAGACGACGCGCGGCGACGCCGCTGCACTGTTTGCAGTGTAATCGCAAGACTGTACGTCGCCGAGCGCAAACGGCACAAGCAGACGTCGTTACCTTTATCGACGCGGGAATCGTCGCTCGCCTCGACATTACTTTCTGGGCAAACTTTCCCCGCTAACGTGTCATCTCTCGCTTTTAGTCTCTCGCGCGACGTTGTACGCGCGGTTGTCCGCCCTCGGCAACTTTTTGGCAGCTTTTCTCATCGACGCGCAAGTGCGCCATCAGGTTCACGGCCACGCGAGTTATTTTTGCCGGGGCTCTTGCCGCGCATTAATGACGTCTCTAAAACGACGCCATCTACTTATCGCGCTCTTGCGTTCCCTTTGAACGCGCCGAGTTCGAACTTTTTGATTAAAATCATCAAGCGCAAAAGAAGATTTCTCGACCGAGCTTTTTCGTAGATGCGTAAAAACGTTCTCTCTCTCCACAGCCGAATCTCGCGTAGTTTTCTACTTCACAGCCCGTCAAACAAGCCGCCTTCCTTTTCAACCAAGAATCCACGAATTACTGATTCGATTCGCTCGATGGCTTTCCATACGTATATACATTTCGCGTGCGTTGACAGATAAAGTTGAGTCGATAACAGTTTTCTTGTTCTGCAAGCTCGTTAAAAGGAATTGGATGTGAACTAACGATGTGCCAAACAAGCGAATTCGCCAATCGGACTGAAGCGGCCTCGTAAACGGACTGTTTATTTCCAGATGAATCTCTTCTCGAAAAGCCGTGGTAAATTGAGCGTCGCGAAGAAACAAAAAGAAGGACTTAATCGTCGTAAAGGCAATTCCGCCTCGTTACTCATGTGCGTGTCCCGCGCGCGCACAAGTGTAGATACGCCGAAAGGCACGCGTATAGCTGTATATACGTACGCCGTATACTCGTACACGGTCAAGTTCAGAGCTGTGTATCTGGGTCACATGCCTTTCTCTCTCTCTCTCACTCGCTCTGCCGTGATGCTGACGGTTCTCGTAAATAGAAGTATCTCGACGATTTCTAAGGGCTTTCGGAACTATTTTATACAATTCCGACGTGATAACGCGTCGCGCACGCAGACTCGTAAAATAAAACCTTTATCTGATTTTTTTATTTGGCGGACGGAGGGATACGATCGTACTGTTCGCTAGGCGAGAAGACATTGCGCTCTGCTAAGATTTTCACTTGATCGCGAGGTGGCCTTCGAGCTCATCGCGATTTCCATTTAACCGAAACGTTTGCGCGCGAGTCGATCGATAACGAATAACCGTCGCTCGCTCAAAACAATCTTTCGCCAGTATGTACAAAATCGATATCGCACGCTCGAGAAAACACAGCTGCAAAAAAAAAAAAAAAAAATTAAACATAGAGTAGCGGTCGATAACTTCATCCCCTCGATCTTCCTTGCTCCCTGTTAATTAATTTAATTGCACAAAATGATGCCGAACGCGTCGACATGGTGATTAAAAATACGAAAGACAAAATACGATTGAATTGCAGAGCGCCAAGGAGACACTGTGCGACCCTGAGAAGCGAGCGAACTACGACAAGTGGAGAAACAGCGGCATCGCCATCAGTTACAAGCAATGGCTTGGCATGAAGGAACACGTGCATCAGGTGAGCTCGCAATTTGTCGATTCGCACGCGGTCGATTCCCGCGTTCGGCTTGGACGAGCTCTAAGCTCGACCTCGACTCCGCGACTCGGAGAACTTCGCCGAACGAACGAGCGGCTGTCCGGGCGCTCTTTTCGCCGACGCGACGCGAGCTCGAATTCTCCGCAGCCTCCACCGCGTGTCCCTCGTAATCACGTCGGAGCGCGCACTAACGTCGCACTGACGCGCGCCTGCCGCAGTGCGCGCGCTTAGCGCTTTTAGAGCTTTCGCGTCGCTTTCCGATTAGTAACTAGCTCGGCGCGTCTCGCCGCTTGACAATCAAGAGTAAGTACCTGAAAATCGCCTAATTAAATATTTAACGCGCGGCGTGGCATTGAAAATTTCTCGAACGACGCGAAAATAATGTTGCCTGTTATTTCCACCAGCGAGTTTCTCATCGACGAGTGCTCACTTACGAAAATGAAAAAAAAAAAAAAAAAAAAAAAATAGCCGTGTAAAGGAAACGGCGCGTGCGAGGCTTCTCGCTTCGTCGGTCGGTGATACGCATTCGCGCAATGGAACACATGGAACACGCGCATCTCTGCTGTTTTTTGGCTCCTCGGCTGCGTTGTAACGCCGTCTAGTAAATTACGCGTAATCTTGAAATCACGACGCGCTCGGCTTGCAACGATAAGCCCATTGGCGGCAATAAAACATTCTGGAAAGCAAGGACGACCGTCGTTACGCGGAAGTGGCCGCTCGAGTTAATTGCGCGATAGCCAGCAACGACAATCGCCGCGAGCCTGAAAATAATGACGAGAAAGAGGAAAAAGAATATCGCTCTGGAACTAAGCACTCGGAAAACTGCGCGCAACTCCCGAAAGAAGTTTCGAGCTGAAAAGCGCAACACACGCGCAAAATGGAGAGAAAGACGCGGAAACTCATCCTTTGCCCGCGCGAAAGAAAAAGTTCTCTCTGTTTTTTTCCTTTTCTCTCTTTTTTTTTCAGGGCCTCGCGTCCGCGGGGTGATAGAGCGCGGAATATAACGGTCGCCCAAGGCGGCAGTGAGTTCGAGTTTCCCAAAGCCAAAATACACGCAGTCGGCTCTAAGGAGAATAGACGTAAACAGCGCGTCGAGTTATCGATCAGCCGAGCTCTCCTGTAATCACCGTTCCCTTCGTTCGGCTAATGCAACGAACCAGCACGATGAGCACCAGCGCTGTCGCTCGGAAAGCAAAAGAGCAACGTTTACGCGCTCCCACGCGAAAGTCGACAACTTTTTCTTTTCCATTCTTTTTATTTATTTATTTATTTATTTATTTATTTATTTATTTATTTTTTTTAAGGTCGATTGGGTTCTTCTTTTCTCGTTACCTTGATTGCACGTGCGCCGACGACGACTCGCTTCGCAAGCGCGCAATGACGCTCAAGACGTCGAAGATGAGATCGAGACTTTCGCCTCGAATTCCAATTGATTGTCGTTTCGATGGCAGGAGCAAAAGGCGAGAAAACATTTGGAAACCGCGCGCGGGGCTTATTCCGAGCAGGGCAGCGGGGCGCGCAGCAATAGTTAAATCCATCGTCGCTTACATTTCCTTGGAAGCGATGCCGAGCTCGGCTCTCGGCGCCGGTATTATTCCAACAAAATGAGACACCAACCTTGGGCTTCGCGTTCATTGTGTTCGAAGTGAAAGGTTGCAGCGCGTGGATAAAAGCGAAACCCACGCAGGCGTCCGAATAAAGCGCGTGCGCGCAGGGGTGCAATTGTTCGTGACTCTAGTCGGGTTCGGGAAACGATACGTTCAGCCGAGGATAAAGCGCGGCCGTGGTCTCGCTGTCGATTCCCCATATTCGGCTAATTCGATTGTCGCGAAAAGTTGAAAGCCGAAGCGCCGCCGCTACCGTTTGCTCGTTTCGTGAATAATCAACGAAAGCCGTCGGCTTCGGGACGTGGCACTGGGTAAGCGATAAGAGCGCAGGTGCTCGGTACAGCGCAGCGCGTTCGGTTGCTTTTTTCTCTCCCGTCGTTCGCGCCCCTTCCCGGTTCATGGATTTATTCGCCAGCGATGCGCGCTCGCTAACTCCTGGATTGACGTTCCTCGAGGAGCGCGCCGCGCGACAGCAGCCGAACGCGAACGCTTGACGCGGTCGCTACGGAAAGTACGATCGTAAAAAATTCGTGGTAAAGACTGTTGGATAATAACGCGCCGCGTGCGACTGCGCAACTCCGAAGCAAAGACTCTTTGTCAACGGGCTGCGCATTAGCCGAAGCGCGCGTGTAACGATAATGGAATCATTACTCAACGGAACGCGCCGCTCGCTGCGACATGGCGACCGGGGTTTATAGCCGAAATACTCGTAACTCGACGTTGTTCATCCTCGCAACGCGAAACTGCCCACACTTTTTATCATTCGCCATTCGCGATCCTTTGTCTCGACGCTGATTCGCATTCGCGTTCTCCAATGCACGGCAACGACCATTCGTTTTTGGTTTTAATTCGCCTATCACCGGCTCCCGCGCTCGCGAGTGGCGCAGCTTAGGTTCGAGCAGGTGCAGCGAGGAACCTCGCGAATACGTGAAATTCTGACAATGATACATTTCAAAGGAGTCTCCACAATTGATTGACGTCGATTCGGTCGAAACACTTGAATTCGCTTCGTCATTTGACAAAGCCAGCGTCCCATCTCGGCAAGCGTACGCACGACCACTACATTACCGCAATGTGCTTTTTCGTTTTCAATTGGGCAAATAAACATTTAACGACGTTAGCATCCGTTGCAACAGAACGTTGTTAGACAGAACGCCTTCTCGCAGTGGATTACGCGTAAATACGTAGATACTCCGTAGCCAGAGCTAAATCGATAGACGCGAAGAAGCAGCTTCAGAAGAACAATAATAAAAGAGAAAACTGAAAGCCAAGCGAGGACAATCAGTGCTCGTAGCGCGACGTCAAATCTAACCTGCCGCTCTTGCGTCCCCGTTTGCGTGTTGCAGTCGATGCACTGGAGCACACCAAAGACGAAGGACCGCATGCTACCCGACGAAGAAGGCGCATCGAGCTTAGCGGGCGTTGCCGGGCGCAAAATGCACGCGGCGAACGCGAACCGACGAGCGAGCGAGGGCGGCGCCAACATTCACTACGGCGCGCGCCGAGATCTCAACTGGGACAATCAGCCACCTAGCGAGATCGTCAATAAGTTCCGCAACTACGAGGTCTAAAACTCTCCTGGAACCTACTTCTTTTTTCGTACTTTTTTTTTCTTTCCTTCTTGTTCTTTTGCCTGCCTCTCTGAATCCCTCTTGTCTTTCTTCTCGAGAGACCATCGCTCTTCTTATCGCGGAAATGGAGCCTTTGGATTCCATGTCGGATCAATCAATCTTGTTGAATTTGTTCTTTTCGCATTCGCATTTTATTTTTATTATTAATATTCTTTTTTTACAAGGGCTGAACAAGCTAGAACGTTGGTTATGTTTTCGAAGAGAGATTTCTTTGACAATGAGGATTCCTACAAAGATAAGGTAGGTTAAAGCGAATAAATATGGCTGTTGAATTGAGTGATGAAAAAAGAAACCGCTTACGTCAAAAAAATATATCAAAAAGATATATCAAAGAGATATTTAAAAATTAATGCAAATGTATCAATAACTGTGCGGTGATGAAACTACTTTCAATTATAACATAAAACTGAACTATAACCTCGTCTAGAAATGTACTTTAGTAAATTAAGGACCAACCGCTTTTTTTGACAATTTGAAAATGCATCGGAAATTCAAAAACAAACCATATTAAAATGTATTATACATAACTTTCGTAACAAGCTGATCTACATAATAATAAAGTATGTTAGCATACAATCAAAATTTTCTGAAAATATAACCGACCATCATATATACGCGAAATTTATTTAAGTACACTTTGAAGCACAAACTACGTGATTTTCCTTTGGGAAGCTGCATTCACTATGTACCTCAAAACCCTCATACCTATATATATATATATATATATATATATATATATATATATATATATATATGCGCATATCATCGTTATGCAAGTGATGCACGATGCAAAGTACGTATATACAATATTCATGTATTTTTTTAAACAAATACGTCGAAGTTACGGAGGTAAAAAAAGAATAAAGAAATGATGGATATCTGCGAATTTCGCGTAACGCGTGGAACAATAAACAAACGTAAGAAGTTAAAAATAAAACAAAACAAGAAACTACGTAAATTTTCTTTAGATTAATTTTTTCGACGAATTTTCAAGACACGAAAGCAAATATGTATTATAATTGACATTCCAAAAAGTCTTTATCCTCGGAAAACCACGTGTTTGGACCAATTGCGGATTAGAATCAAAATACTCCGTAGTCGCATGAGAAACCTAATACGTATGCATAAATACCTCTATTTTCCTGAATGTCAAACGAAAGAAAAAATAAACTATATTTGTTCGTTGAAAATGTCATTTACGAAAGGATGAACGAATGGAGCAAATCAAATATTTTCAAGAAAAATAGCGTTTATCAATTAATTATATCCAGCGACAAATTCCACTGTCTTTCCTTACTTCAGTCAGGTGTGTAATTAATACAATGTATGCGATTCTTCTTGAAAAAAATTCTTCTCTGCATCATATATACCAATTTAGAAATGTTTTCCTAATAATTCACGAATTTACTTTACTCACACGTACCTTCTTACTGTTTACCTAGATATTTTTTCAATTATAAAAAATGCAGGTATTGTAGTTGAGTTACGTAAATGAAAAATATACGTATAATATATAAATTGTTATCGTTGGCTAATCGTGGGGGACAACTTAAAAAAAATTAAAATAAGAAAAAAAAGAGTATTGTGTATTAAAATAAGTAAGAGCACAAACAGAAAAGCGGCCTCGTCGTTTTCGTTCGTTGAGTTGGGATTCGGCGCACGAGTCGACGAACGAATTAGTATCAGACGAAATGTATACAAACAAACAAACAAAATGGCTAATCGCACCTAAATATTGCTGAGAATTATTGAACGTTAACGAAAGAATTATTAATGTTTAAGCATGCGTAAATGTATATTCAAATAAAGGAAAGTATGTTCGCGTATAATTGTGTAAAAAGAAAAATAAACAACAGCAGATGAAAAAAAAACCATAAGTCGCGCGCACTCAGTGTTACACTAAGAAATGTGCATTGATTTCGATGTGTTTCAATAAAAACTTCATGATTTCATGATTATCCCCCTATGACTTTTTTACTTTTCACGTCCTCGTAAACAAAAGAAGATAAGATCCATGTTTCATTCAAGATTGTTCCGCTCTTGAAATATCCGCCTTGAAACGTTTTAGGCAAGCCGTCAAGAATCCCGAAGAAGACTTTGAAGCCCCTTCTTTCTCCCAGAGAAAAATTATCCAAACACAATGGAGTTTGCACATGTAGCACGTAGCGGCAATATTGGCAATTTGTTGAATGCGTCACGCGAGAATATAGCCGTAATAAACGCAACTACGTTGGAGATGCTAACTTGGCGAAAAAATTCAAAGTGAATTCCGCGACTTTCTCTCTCTCGCATGCATTATTCATTCCAAACTCTGTTGTTTCCAATCTCTGATATCTATTCAAAGTGGCGTACAAAAGGAGTCACACGAAAAAAGTTTTGTGTATAAATGTGCCACGGCTCGATATTCTTTCATTTGAATGTTCTTGAATGATGTAAGCGAGATTCGATATGATAAAAACGGGCTTTTCGATACAAGTTCGCGTTGGAAAAATGCAACTCTGATGTTTTTCTATCGACCGCGTGTATAGCACAGAAAAAATATTAACAATAAACTGAACCATGCCTATTACTAAAGCAACGTCGTAATAAAGACGAAACAGAGTATGTTTGCGTTTCTGTAAGCGTATTCACGTAACACGCTATTTCATATAAAATTGTACGACGCACGGATTCATTAGCATTTTGTAAAAGCTTTTATTGCATCTGGAATGGACGGGACAAACAAAGCCAAGTGATAAATAAGCGTGCTTGAAGCACCACGGAAGGATAAACTGTCAGGGATGCTTTCGGCACAGTTGTTTACACCAATTAGCTTTGCCGCGCCTGCGTCGATTATTTATCACGAGAATCGACTGTGGCCCGATATGTCGACAGAACGGCTCAGATTTTCGTTTGATATGCAAACTGTGCCACGCTTTCAAACGTACGAATTGCAAATTTAATGCGTGAAGAAATACTATCTCGTATAGAATGGAAACGAGAGTATTCTTCGCTTAACAGCTGAATCATAATTAGAATTTTCCGGAACCTGCTATGAATACGTGCAATTTTCTGACAGTTCGTATGCCAGCTGAAGTAAGTAATTTAATGCCGCTACAGGTTTTATGACAAAATACAAATTAATAAACAATGAGTTTCAATTCTATTTCTTAACTTTTATTCTCTAAAACCTCAAACTAAGAAAAATCCGGCACTACCAGTTTTCAAGCAGTTCAAAAAACAGTAACACCAGGTGTCGGTGATAGCCGAGGGAGTAACGGCTACCGAGATCTGCTCGCGTTTCTCAACACTTGCAAGGCTAGTGATGCCGCCCGATGCCAATCATCGTTTCCAGACTCGCATGGCCGAGTGAACGTCTCGGTAAATCATCTCAAACCTGCTGCATTAAAGTTATAGTATAGATATATATAAGGAAATAGTAATGTTCAGCCACTGATACAAAAATAAGAAAGATACCAGTGCTAGAAGCGAAAAATCATTTTATTTTCAGAATTGAAAGAAAATAATTTTTCCCATCTAACTTCTTCGGGTACGTCCTCCAACAGCAACAAAAGCACCATCATACGTGGAAAATAAATACAACGAAAATACACGTATATTATATTTTTGGAAATAACTGTTGGCGGCATTTGAAAAATTCAGGAAGCAAATTGATTTCATCCGGCTGATTAAGAGGGGGGGGGGGGGGGATGCAAAACAGGAGGGAGGGTGAGAACGGAGACCGAAGCCAGGGAAGGGCAGTGCCTCAGCCCTTTCTAGATCTCGATCCGTGGCCACACTGGAAGCTTACGTGGATCGAACATTGTAAATTCGCGCGAGTCCAAATGGAAATAACAAGCCGCGCGCGCGCGCGTACACACAGGTGAAATTGAATTGAGGTGGCCGTACACTGCGGCTTGCAGGCGACGTATCATCGCACGGGACACTCTCGTATGGCAGCAGCACGGACTGGAGGATACAGATACATTGTATATAGGCCACGGCGCAAGCATTGATCACGTGTGCGCAGCAGCAGCAGCAGCAGCAGCGGGCCGATACGTTTCCGATAGACTGGGCTTTTGTGACGAGCACTGGACCAACTGATTGCGAGCCGCCAACGTTGGCCGTCCAGCTGACAATAGCGTCTCATTTGCTTTGATTAACGGACCTGCTCTGCTGGGAGTTTCGTTCTCAGACGGACCCGCTCGCTTGTAAGAGAGCAGAGCGACTCATCGATCGCGCACGCGACGTTCGGATGGAGAGGCGACCTTTCCCGCGCGCACGGATGATAAACCCGCTTGCATTAGCCAACTCGAATCGCAGCGTCGTAACGTTGGACAATAACGCTGAATTATGATGGCGCTGAACGATGCGCGTGTCACATACGCAGTTTTACGCGCATGGCAATATTGCGCGAAACCGCTACGCCGATTAGGCGCACAGCGGCGCCTGAATTACGGCTATTAATAAACGCGCGGCGACACGCCACCATCGCGTCGCTCATTAAAACGCTACACGCGCTCGGGGAATCGCGCCTTATCGAATTAGTTTGTTGCACACGTTTGCTTGTGAAAAATCGATTTCCCACGGGGGTGCCCAGACGCGTCGACTCTTATTTATGACGCGTTCTCTTTTCCATTCGCAAATGTTCTCCGTTTCGTTTTGAGACAAAGACAAGAGACAATTTTGCGAGCGCAAGAAAAGAGCTTTATCTGCTTTGACAATGAAACAATGGCTCGAGAGCTGAAGCTTATTAGAAAGAAAGTCTTATCTGTTGTCTATGTTGCGGATGAAAAAAAAAAACAAAAACGGAAACAACGGGAATCGAGTGACCCGTGTGCCAATAGCGGAATTAGGGCGCGTAGAGCAGACGCCAATTGTTTCGCGCTTGTTTGTTCGCAAGAGCGAGATACGCCGTAGCCGCAGTGATTTCGCCGTCGTCGTCGTTTCTCCCTGCAGCTGCCAGGTTTTACCTCGGTGAAACTGCGGTTTTGCCGCGGAAAGGCGAGAGTGTGCAAGGAACGGTTGGACCAAGTTCACATTAATTTTAACGAGAATTTCACTGTATTCTAAAGTGGCATTGCATTATTCATTCACACGAATATTGAATCCACTGTACGTACAAAAACGCCGCAACCTTAGTTAACTTTCCAATGGTCTTCTTGCTACGAAAGCAATCCGCCCTTTAGTCATTCATTACTAAATTAATTACCATGTCATTGGTTTGGGAAAGTAATGATCTAAGAAAATGTCATAAATAACAAGTTTAATAGGTTTAGAGTTTGCGAAAATTTGCTCAAACACCAGCGCTTCAAGTTTCACTATAGTTTGTTTGTATTTACACTGAATACCGGTGAACGATCAAAAGTATTCGTCACAGTAAGATTAAGGCATATAGGTGGTGGCTTAGAGGATTACAGGAAATTTCGTTAAGGAAACTAACACTGTCTCCGGGGCTCGTCTTCATCTTGGTACAAAAGATTTCATTTCGGCACAACGGCACAACGGCACATCGGGCAGTTTGAATTTTATCATGTATCTGTTGATACAAAGACAGTGAGCTCCATAAAATCTGGTTTGCTCGGCATTATCATCAAGAAACTTTTGAGTATTGCATCAAATTACTATACTATAATGGATGTAAGTTTTATACAATTATAGTTTTTGTAATCGTACATTATATATATATATATATATATATATATATATATATTCAGCAAAAGACTATATGAACTTATTTGAAGACATTCAAGAGTTCCGTGACTATTTACCAAAGGTGAATGGCTTATATTTCTGAAAGCAAAGTTGTGGAGTGAATAGCTGTATTCGCAGATTTTCCGTTTGATAATGAGAATGTCCATTCTTATCGGTATATTAGCAGAGAAACAAAGATTAATTTATTGGTTTGAGCATCCCGAAATGCTCGTAAACTCGAACTATGCGCCGCACCGTGTGCCTATTATGCAAAAGCTATAATGCCTTTGATGCGATTTTGAGGTTGGAGCAAAAATAATGCCACAACTTGTATAGCTGTGCTAAATTTGAGCAGTAACGAAAACGAGCACTCGCTAGAGTGCAATTCGCTAGAGTGATCGTGTACGCTGAAGATGTAAAATTGTTTTGCAGGTCGCGGCGAAGAGAGCTAAATTATCCCCCGAAGAATTGTCCGACAATATATTAAATGACCTCCACTACGCTGCCAAAAATGGTAATGCTAAGATGGTTAAACGTTTGTTGAGCTCGGGATGCGATGTCGACATGAAAGACGCATTCTGGACAACTGCTCTGATGTTAGCAGTGGATGGCTCGCATGAAAGTACGATAGCAGTTCTGTTGAAATTTAACGCCGACATCTATGCAAAAGACAAATTCGAGAGGAGTGTGCTGCAAAGAGTCTTCGGATTGAGCATAACGCGTAAAACCATTATTTTGATGTTTTTAGAGATCTTTAAGAGGGGATGCAATAACAGTGAAGAAATAGCGATGAAATTAATGGAAGTTGGCTGTCCATTGTACTGGGCCATACTTTTAAGTGACACGGAAGTGACAAGATTCATGCTGGACTCGGGTTATGTCATTGATGGGCACGACACGTACAGACCAAAACCAGCTCTTCACGTATCTTTGGAATTGAGGGATTTTGCAAATGCCAAACTGCTGCTTGAGTATAATGCTGACGTTCACGCGATAGATGTGACGGGAAGGACTGCACTGGCTTGCTTGGGTTCCTTTGACGATTCTAACGAAGAACTAGAGGTGTTAGAAATATTAATCAATCGACACATGAACGAGCCCTCTAGAAGCAATTCTTATAAATTAGCGCAGCTTCGCACATTACTGAAATACGGACAAGTGAGAGCCCTGAAAATGCTTCTCGGACGTAGGATCAACTGGTGCGCCGAGGATTTCTATCTGAAAACTCCGCTGCACTATCTCATGACCAACACACTCTTGCGCAACAATCCACATCTGGTTTACCTTATGCAACTTAGCAGTCTCTATAACGTACCGGGCAATATATTATCATTGGCTGCGCTACGTGGTTTCACGAGTTTCGTGGAAGTGATGTTGAAGAAAGGGGCGGACCCTAACGATCAATGCGAGAAGGGAAACACACCCTTGCTGGACGTCTGCTTGAGCACAACATATTGGCTGGACCGAAGGGAAGTCATTTCTTTACTTCTCATGTATAACGCGGATCCTACGATAGTTAATTACGAAGGTGAATCGGTCTTAGACGTTGACTTGGACGTCAATTATAAATTCCAATTGATCAAGTGTATAATTGGGCAGTTAGTTATGATGGAATTGCGGGGCGTTGAGATCCCCCTCCAAATTCGCAGACAGATTTTTTCGGAAAATAAAACCAGGAAAGAATATTTATTGAGCAGGTCGCAGCTCGAAAGACTTCGGCACTCCTTTGTCGGCGATTCGATACGCATTTTCGAACTTTTTACAACAAGTGTGAACACCATTGCACTTTATATTCGTGATCGAACGTTCGTCAGCGACATGAGGAGAATTCGCTACTCTACTCTGAATTTTTATTTCTCGTTTGTTTTGAAAAAAAAATTTAAGGCTGCAAATCATCGTAAAATCACGCTTGATCGTATTCGCAGAAAAACGGGATTTCATTATGATTTCTACCCTACAATTGTAGATACAATATGCAATTATCTACTTCTTGATTAGCGTTCTCCAAATACCTATTTGGAGTTTTACAACAAACATATCTCATGACTTCAATAATCATAATACTTTTCCATGTATATTTACTAAGACAATATTGCAAATGCATTGTAATCATTTAAGTTACAAAATCTCTTATCAACTAACAAATTCAGATATCTTCTGATTTTATATTAATAAAGAGATATTAACACTTTTATTTCGGGTATCTATTTTACTCCCTTGGTTTTTACATTTCAAATGTCCATGGTAACGAAAAATGCTATCCGTCGACGATTAAAATGCTTTATTTTTCACGATAATCACTCGAGGGTCGCGGCAATTCACATATTTTTATAAAAAGATAATCAGTACGAGTTCATCAACCTTGAAGCCCCAATTTACAAAGAGAAACGCACAGCTAATTTTCTCTACCTCTCGACGAAAGTTAACACTGCAGGCGGCCTTCCGCTCTGTTCGGCTCTCTGATTGAATGGAAAACCTTCCAAAAGCAAAGTTGCTTTCTTTTCTTCAACGTGGACAACTTGACGCGAGCTTGCTGAGTGGGGAAAAAAAGGAAGGAACTTTTAATTGGAAGTTCATTAATTGAGACTTTCAAAGTTGATGGCGCGCGTCATTGCGTTGGAAGAGGCCAAACAATATCATCTCACCAGATGCACCAGAGTGAAGGTTGCATCGTGTAGCGTAGGCCATGTCTATTCAATTGCTCTGCAAGAAGAAGTTTTGTAAAAAATAAATAACGAAATAGCTTACCGTAGACCTATGCTCAATTACTGTCTATGCGACACTTTTTCAGGCTGACTCGTAGTCTGCTATTGTTATTAGTTTCTGTTCATTGGTTTGGCATGACGTGAAAGAGCTGCCGCTCGTTATTCACGCTCCGAAAAAAGTATTAATTATGCATTCGAAAACATCCTACGAGGAAATGTCACGCTTAGATTGCCGTCAGCTCTCTGAAAGCTCGAGCTTTTTTTTCGCATTATGCCTCACACCGATGCTAAAAATAGCAGCTCCAAAGGCCATTCCGGTCTAATACCTGCCAGCTTTCACAAACTTCGCAAGCCCTGCGAACACCGAGGAGGAAACGAGATCTCTCTCACCGTTTACGGTAGTATTGCGTACCTTGGCGTAAGTTCGGAAGTCCGCGCGCGCGCGCGCGCGCCGAGGCTCTACTTTGCTGGCGACGCGACCAAAATGCGATTTTAGCGGCAGCCTCTGTCTGTGGCTCAGTTTTATTTATTTATTTTTATATACCTGCTGAATTCTATCCGAAACGCGAACGAGAGTGAGAGGGAGGAGATCGCACGGATCAAGAGTGGGATTGAAGGAGAGAGAGAGAGAGAGAGAGAGGACGCAATACCGAGTAATCAATTTTTTCGGATCTATCCCCGAGCTTCTATATATTCTTCCCAATGATTCGCTGCTCTAGTTTCGCTTCGCTACTTTTTTCCCTCGCTTTTTTCCGTTTGCAGCCATCAACGATGTGTCACGAGCTTCGAAGGGAAATTTTATTTTCATCGCTGATTATCACTGGCTTTTTCTACCGGTAAATATGTTTCTTGTTTTATCAAGTTGCACGTCGAACGTGAAATGCTGGGATTTTTATCTTTCTTATTCTGTTTTTTATTTCTCTCTTTTTTTGTATTTCCACTTTTCTCTGAAAATTAATTATATCGTTACTTCTTCATGATCATTAGAAACTGCATTCTAACGACTTCGTGGCAGCGAATTATTTTCGTTCCAATTAAACATTAGCGACAATTAATCAGACGTATCGAGGCTTTCGAAACATTATCTTCCATTTATAGTTACGATTGCAGTAGAAAAGTTGATTTTCTCTGGGACGAGCAGTCTAAAGCTGCAAGTGAAAGTGACAATTTTTCAAAATAGCTGCAGGATACGTTCGTCAATTACTCTTGAATGAGTGATCAATCGACGCAGAAAACCCATTTACGGGAACGCTACCTGCTATAATCAACGCTGTGCGTCCGTGCTACTTCTTTCCTCCGAAGAACCCGTGAGATAGAAATTCTAAAAATCACTTTGCACTTGGAATATTGAATGTGTAATGAAACACGGGAATAGGCACTTTGATTGATTGATCAATATCTTGAAATACGGTGAAACCCTTTTGAAATTCAAAAGAAATCCTATCTATCATATTTGACATCATTAAACCTATCAGTTTTCACCCTTAAGAAAAAGTCGTGCAACTTAACCATCAAAAACAATGTAAATGGATATTTTTCATACAAGCCTCGTAGTACTTATCTATACAGTGTCAAATAAAAATAAAAGGTCAGTTTGCAGAGTATCGCTTCGAACAAAGCGGCCAAAAAAAATGCCGAGAATTTTCATCGACTTCCGTTAGAAAAACGAGCAGAGAGTACATGTGCACACACACGCGCATACGTGCTTGCCTATAGCGTAAAAAGTGGCAAACCACACAGAACGACGGGCTATCGAGCCGAGAGAGGCGGAGAGAAGCTCGATCAAGCGGATTATCCTTCAATTACCTTTCGATAAAGCGCACGCACGAATAATATATAAGCTCGAAATCGATCGACCCGTCGCTAGGTGTAGGCTCGTTTTTGGCTGTAAGTACACGAACGCGCGTGCGGGCGAATATACACGCGCGTCCCAATGGACAAACGAGCGCGCTCAACAATGCCCAAAACGGCGAGACTAATTAACCCTTGATGGCCTGTCTATTACAAGGGGCCGAGACGATACGCTACGCTACGTGATTGCACTCGCGTGTGCCATACTCTGTAAGCAATTGCTGATCAACGGTGCTGCTGCTGGTGCTGCTGCTGCCCCGCGTTTGATCATATTCTCAGTAGCACGTACTCTGTGTTATTAACGGGCGCAATTACCAGCAGCTTCATTGCCGCAGTTTAGCGATGCCTCTCTCTCTCTCTGCTTCTCTCCTGAGTGACTGATCGGGAGACAACGCAAACGAACGCAAGGGACCACAATTCTCTCCCCTTAGTGCAGTACAGCGGATGTCTTCTGATGATCGTTACAGTGCACTGTATTGTACACTGTCTACGTTACAACAAAATTGCTCAATTCTGAACTTAAAGTCGCAAGTACACAAGGTCTGGTTTTCCAATAGAGTGTGTAATTGCGTCGATCGTACGTGCACTAATTTAGTCTTATAAATTGCGATAGAAAGAAAAAGTTGAATGAAGCTCATATGACGTCATGATGGTACGACAATGACGTACATTAATTGTTCACACGAGCGAGATATTTTTAATTTAACGATGTGGTAAATGTGGAGGGTTTTATTGATTTTTTTCATTAGTAACAGCAGTTGGCAACACCGACCGTCGAGTACATGACTGGAATACAAGTGAGTAATAATGACTGTGGCGATCATTTCAAGCAGTTGATATTTATTGTAGCTGGATCATATTGCCATACTAATAATGTTTGATTTTATTAAAAATTATTTAGCACTTTTTCACGTCAGGTCAGTATCATTTTCTACCTTATCGATAGACGTTTACCCGAAAGTTGGAAAAAATATCTTTGATTTCATCTTCTCCAGATACTATATTTTTTAAGTGAATAAAGTTTATAAAGCGGAATAAAAATTTTTAACATAATAGAGGGAAGGTATAATTTTTTAAAGACATATTTTCATAACTATATCATGAAAATGTTTATTGATTATTGACTCGTCACGTCTTTCATTGTAAAACATTTAACGATTTGTAAGGACGAGCGCTGAATAATTATAAACATAATCTGGATATTTCGATACCACACTATTAATGCAGTTACGAGTTATTACGAGTGCCCAAGCTACTCGAATCGTAAGCACTGTCATTCATTTCAATTCCCGTACTTTCGTAATATTTTATTCATTTCATTATATATTTCATAGTAACTTCGCATGGTGATGAGATGTTTTAGCAGGTTAGTAACTGATTATAAACTGATGTAAAAATTTGTCTTACGAACTAACTTCAATTCAATTAAGATACCATTTATTTAAATTTGAAAAAGTTAATAAGATGATTTCTATAGAAGTCTACTGAAATAATTAGTTTGTGTTACGATTAATTTATGAATTACGGAAGAATGTGTTAATAACAAGTTTTATATATTGCCAAAAGGATACTTAAAGAATATTGTAAAATTACAAATGCTTAGCTAATTTGGATAAAATAGACTGATTCGATTTTTCCATTCATAAATGTCATCTTAAAATTATTGCCTAAATTTTAATAACTGGATTAAAATTAGCGAACGGTCATATTATTCGAAAAAAGTCAACGAGTTAAATCAAAACAACTTGTTGACTATTTACATTGTAGCTATTGCTAATATTTGCGGATATATTGCTTTGGCAGTGTACGTTAGAAATGCGTGAATCGTCAACTAGTTATAGCAAGTATGTCGTGAACAATGTATACAAGTAATACAAAAGTTGTTTTAGAAAAATTTCTTTATAAAAAATGTCAAATCTACATTTTCTGTGTAGATAATCACATTCTTCTTTTCACAAGTGTTTATAACTTTGAAGATTTTTATTAAACATAAATTATATATTTTTTATAAACTTAAATAAATGGTATCTTCAAATTTTTAGTAATTGTGGAAGATACTCTGTATTAATTACTTATACTATAAGATTCTTGATCAGTTATAAATGTTTTGACCTTAATTATAAAACTTGTACATAATTTACATATGTTTATCTGTGTACAGTAGTTTTTTTATAATTTTATTATTTTTTTATCAATCATTTAAAAAAACAAACATTAGCAAAAAAGAATAAAAATTTTATTATGACCTACAGCGTTGTTTTATGTAAATTTCTCTGTTAATGATTGTGTGCAATAAACTCAACATAATGTTCATTTCAATAATCTTTAAAAAAAAATGAATGATAATATTTCACTGTCAAACAAAACTATTATGTTATATTTGTGCTATGTGTTGTTGAAAAAAACATTGCAACGTATTCATTTTCTGATTCTCATACTGCTTTTTTAAAAATATGTACGACATTTGTATATGTACTGTAAGTCGGTATATAGTTATTTAGTTTACAACGCATTATCATACATTATAACATTAGTCATCTGTCAAGAGTTTTGTAATAGTTTTGCTGCTTCATCCTTTTCTTTTTCTTAACATTTTATACGTTATATTTAAGTATACATTTTTTTATTAAAATCTGCGATATCACTCACTGCATTCGCGATTATTTATTGCTAAAAACCGTAACGCGTTTCTCCAAAAAAGTAACGCATCAATATTCGATTAGTTCTCCAATATAAACTTAAACAGACAATTGTTAACTCTGTCGCCTTCTCCTGAACTTTCGAGCAGAACTTTCCCGTAAAGAAAGACTTTAATCGAGAGGTTATATTTTACATTGTTTTTGTCTCAATAATGTTCATATCTTAATTTTACAAGTGGCAATGCACTACCTTTGGGAAAGTCGTCCTCAAAACTTTACAAACTACGTCATTATCTAATCCTTTGGCTTTTCATATACGAGCTTCTTTTTACATCATTCGCGCTGCACATCAAAGCTCGACGGTACACAATTGGGTAATCGACGTTTAATGTTTCTATTACGACTACACGCAGTGGCTAGTCGGTGGTGTATGAAAAACTTCAGAATGCACTTTATCTAAGGAAAAAAGAAACGAAGGAATTGGGAGTCTAGTAACGGCCGTCGTCCCGATCGGCAGGCTGGTTTTCTAACGTGCATGGTCGATGAAACTCTTGACCTCTCTCGTGCAACCACTTGTTCGCCACTGCAACAGTAAAGAGTCGCGTTGATCTTGGCAATGATCTCGCTGCTTTGGCGTAATAAAAAGAAGCTGTTCAACTAATTACCCCACTTGGATCCGGTGAGCACGGGACAGGCAGCATGCCGCGTCATGTAATCTCCCTCGCCGTTGGGTTTCAAATTGTGCCAGAAAGCAGCACTGCCCTTTTTCGGCCAGAGAGAAATGTTGATTCTAGTAAACACCGTACCGCCGCCTTGCTCAACGTCGCTCATCTGAATAAAGCAAGAAGGTTAATTTTGTTCGCCGCCAGCACCTCCGGTGCGCTTGCGTTGTTGCTGCGCTCGCACAAAACGAAGAACGAGGAGCCAACTTACGTAATATAAAACAGTTGCAATACGATTGCCAGTGCCAAGACTCTTGAATGCGTTCTTTTCTTCTCTCTGAAAAAAAGCGGAAAATTCGCGCCATTAACGATCCATTCAGAAATACAATACATTGATTGGCGATGAATGGAAGCATAGCCGTCGATCGGCCCTGTACGCGAGACGAGAGACAATGGACATCACCGGGGTGTGACGAGGAAACGATGCGTCGGACGTACCCTAGCGAAATCGAAATGAGGCTCGTAGTGTCCGCCAATGCCGTAATTAACGACCTGCAGCTCCTCGGCAGTATCCACGCTCATGCTCGTCATGTGCTCCACTCGCTGGCTGACCGCTTGCACGTGCCTGTGCTCGTGCTCCTGCAGCCAGGCGCTCTTGCTAATGCGGTAGTTGGCTATTTCCAGCTCGCCGGTCTTGTAGTTCTGCACCGTGGCTCGCTTGAACTGCAACAAACAGCGGCGGGCGCTCAGCTCGAGGCGCGCGCCCTTTGCGCTCGCGGCCGCGGGGGCCGCGGGGGCCGTGGGGGCCGCGCCGATTTTTCATCCGCCAAGCTTTCGCGTGCGTACCCGCGGCCGAGCTCGATAATCGAGGATGCCGCACGCGTAGCTCGAAGCCGCGAGCTCGCGCAATGAATCGCGCTGGGCGCGGGCGGAATGGAAATTGGGCATAATGCTCCGGCAAGAATTGATCGAGGACAGGGGCTGCTACGTCGCACACTCACTCTCGGCTGCGCCATTCTCTTGATAGTCTCGATCTCGTCGTCGTAGATGACGTCGTGGTAAATCACAATGCGCGGCTCCAGGTAGACTTCCTCCTCTTTGAACGGCGCTATCTTTAGGAAAGGATTGCCACGGTCGACGTAGCGACACTTCAGCTCCTTCTGCAAGCTCAGCGGCATCTTGATCTCGCCGCGGCACAGCATCTCGTATCGCTCGCGCTCCGTCATCTCGCTCACGCTCTTTATCTTCTTCTCCGGCACCGTGAACGGCTGGAAGTTCGTCATATTTTATACACATTTTGCTCTTCATTTTTCTCTCTCTCTTTTTTTTTTTTTTTTAAGAGACTTTATCTTTGTGATTTTCTGACGTGTTCGGTTTTATATGTATGGATTTCAATTTCATTTTCCAATCAATGGATGATGGGTTGAGATCTTTTGATCGTAATGTAATTTCAGGAATGGCTCCACCCTTTTAGTTATGCGAGCCATTATAGCGTTTACACATTGTATTTTCATGCTTTCATTTCTGTTTTGAAATACAACTGCAAATCTTAAAAATGGTTTCATTTATAGGTATGAGAAAACTGAAATTTTAGTGATTAAGGTTGCTTACGAATTCGTCAGTTCGATTATCGTTACAAATAGAAAGATTTGATGCACAATAGTACATTGTCTAACTAGTAAAGGAAAGCAGATTTTCGTCTCGTGTGCCGTTCCAGCCTTGCCTCGCTCGGGTATAAATCTCACACGAGACAAGAATTTACTTTCCCGCACTAGGTAGGTGATGTATTATTAGATAGTACGCCACGGTAAAAATTAAATTAATGTACTAAATGTGCGCATAAAAGTGTTAAAAATATTATAATGCTACTCGAATGACTTGGAGGTAATGTAACCATCTAGCGATTATAAATCTATTATTTGGATCTATAGCCAATTAACGATAATAAGGAAAAATAGCTGAATGTAAGAAGGAATATTAAAGTGACAAGAATCTAATGAAATGAAAAAAAACGTGGTCAAGACAGAACATATCCTCGGCGAGAAAAAAAATGAACGAGACAAGACGTCCAGCATAAATCATGCAAGACGCTTGTTATCTCGTCTAGAGCGCTACCACGTCACTCGTCTTTTACGTCGTATCGCCAGTCTCTTACCTGATCGGGTAGATCCTCTGTGCCATCTTCGCCACGTTTGCGTCTACCGTCCTTGGTGCGCTTCTGAATTTCCTCGAGGTAGTAAGCCCGATTGCCGATGGCACGCTGATGCGTCGGTACCAAGTCCAACAGCTCGTTCGTCATGCTCAACGCTCTCACCACGTTACCTGCGCGCGGAGGGAAAAAGCCACGATTAATTTTACCTAATGGCGCACTTGGCGAAAAAGTCTTATTGACTTTCCATTCTGACGGAGCGCTCTCTCTCTCTCTCTCACTCCACTTTTATTGGCTCGAGAGGTAGCTCTGCTAAATGACTCTCTCTGATTTATCGACGACGCGCTGATTTATAAACATCCCTCGCCGCGGCTGATTTATCGTCGCGCGCGATATTTTCGGTGTACACTCTTTTCAGCAGTGAGCCCGGAATGCCGTCGCAAGTGCGTTCCGGCGACGAGTGAAATGCAGCGATTGATTTCCGATTTCATATCTCCATCGCGAACTTTCCCTGAGAACAAATCCGTCTATTATCGAGTCAATAATCCCGGGCAACAAAGACTTGCCGTTACGGCGACAAGCAATCCTCAAACTTGGGAGCTGCTACGGGCAATCTCACATACAGTATCACGGAAATCTCAATCACTAGAGCCCGTCGCGGAAGACTCGATAAATCCGCCAGCGAAAAAAGCAACGACGACGGCGATTCCCGTGTAGCCGGCCAATGTATCACGGCGTAAAGGTCAATAGAAAGCGGTTATAACCCCTGGGCGAGCAGCAAGGGATGACCACGCGCGCGCGCGCGCGCGGCCGACGTCTCGGAAAAAATTAATAGTCCGCCGCAGCAGTGGCCGCAGTACACATTCAATCGGATATCTATTAAAACCTTTGGCCTTTTTTTATTAATTGCGCTAAATCACTGCGTAAAAGTTGCCGGTCAAGGCGCGCGCGTAACGCGACTAATGAGATTAAGGGGGAACAAATAGCGGCGGGAGGCACGGACTAAAGCGTCGGAATAATTGCTCGAACGGCAGACGCGAACGAATGTCCGATTAAAGTTTAGTTATGCTGCTACGTGCGAAAGCGGCGGTTCGATCGGCGTAAGTAACCCTCGCAGGCGGTTAAGGCGAACGTACGTGTCTCTGGATCGCGTCCTGGAATGTTTCAAGTTCGCGCCAGCGCGCGGTCCCGAAAATGTCGGGACGGCGGCTCGATCGACGCCGCGGAAGCGCGAATAATGCCGTAACGTACGCCGTATCACCGGCCGAGCGACTCGCGAGTCGACGTAACGTACGCCCCTTGTTCCCGGGGCGGGTGACCCGCAAGCCCCGCCGCAAGATGCGACCGGGCGGGAAACTCGGCTGAATTTTTCATTTCGGTGAGCGCCAAGCTCGTCCATAATGGAGCGACGGTCGCGCGCCACGGCTTTTGTCGCGCCGGGGATCTATATATCCATGCATTATTCGCCAATGGTCGGGTGGCCAGGTGTGTCCTTCTTTCGTGCCGCGCGTATAACTTTGTTATAGCGCGCGCGTCTACGGCGACGACGCGACGTGGCGATTGATGACGCCTACGTCTCGGTGATTTATTATACTCGTACATCGGACGCTACGGATGGGACGATCGAAGCTTTCGGGAAATGAGAAAGTTTCGAGGCGCGCCTTTTCACTTTTGACGAGAGACGATCGATTTCCAAGATCCCATCGGTTATCTTGCGTCCCAAACGAATGTCGCGGCACAGCGAGCTCGTTCTCGCGAGTCCCGTCTAACGGAACACAATACCTGCAATCCCTGGTCGATAATCGACACGTAGCTAAGTCGAGCCGCGAGAGTCTCCCCCGAGGGATCAGCCTCGGAAGAATAACATCTCACTTAATTAGCTATTCTTAATTAGATTTTTGCCGACGTGGAAAAGGCTTGGATAAAGTGGTTAATTCTGTTACTGCCCTTCCCCTTCCCTTCCTAATTGTTCTCCCGTCGGCTCTGGCTTCTTTGTCTTTCGACTGCGCTCGCGCGTCGGTAATTGCATTCTGTTCTTTTACTTCGCGTTTTTCGATCTCTGTTTTGCTCTAATAAAACAAGCACACCGAGGCCAGACAGTGCTGTTCTCGTTTTTCGCTTCGGAGCTATCCTATCTCTTAAACATTTCAAGCCCGGGCGTTTGCACTCCGCTGTGCCGCCCTTCCTTTCTATTACCACCCGCATTCAATCTCATTTTCGCGCGATATTCCCTCCGTGTCGTTCTCTCCGCTCTCTCTCTCTCTCTCTCTCTCTCTCTCTCTCTCTGCTGCTCTATATAGCATTCGATCCGATAGCCGTCCTGTCTGCTGTTTCAGCTTCTCCAATTGAAGAACAATATTTACCCGCGTCTTCAACTATTTTTAGTTCATTTGACGTCCCTCCCCTTCCCACTTGCCAGTTTATTTGTATCCGTCGACTTGTAGCATCGAACGTTTGGAAATTCGCGATGATGTAATACGCTCCGGCGATTCGCGGATATACTTATACTTTTACTTTTTCTTCGATGAATTTATTTTGTAGCGAAAATGGAAGACAGAGTGATCCTGATAAATCGAATGCTCTTAGTGGAGTAGATACACTCGAAAAGTACACCCTTCCACTTGTGTCCTCCGGTAAAATACGTTATAGATGTCCCTTCTTCCCTTTCTTTCTCTTTGAATTTACGTACTTGCACGAGTGTCTTCCCTACTCCAAAGAGCGTTGTGTACGTACATGCGTAATTTTTCTTTCCTTGTACAAAGTTGGCTCGCGACGAACAAACAAACAACTCGTAGTAAGAAGCTCGATAAAATGCCTCTTTCATTGACAACAAGACGCCACTACGAACTCATTAAAGCTTGGAACGACGCGATATTCCGTGCTCTCGAGTAATCAGATATTCTCAGGTCATTCATTAAATGAAAACTCAACAAGTCCTAACAACGACAATTATAATGCTCACCTTGCATGTAGGTGGAAAAGGCAAGATACTCAAGGATGTCGGGTTTCGAGACGCTCGTGCGGTTCTGCTCCTCTTGTAAACGGTCCATGGCCTCCTGCATCCAGAGCACCGTGTGGTAATAGTCGCCGGTGTTGTAGGACTGCCTGCCCAGCTCGAAGCAGTCGCTCGCTAAACAAACAGACAGCGCACGATACGCCCGTTAAGCGTGCACGTCGGCAAATTTTCATCGCTCGAGAGTCTTGCTCGCGGGCACGCGCCTTTGAGCTCGCGAGAGGCGAGCTTGCCTCGCTCGGCGCTCCTCGGTTGCAAGCTCGACGATTAATTATCGTGCAGCCGCGTCGGCCAAGACAGTCGACAGCTGCATTCTGCCCTCCTCGCTCGTCTGGCCGTGCAGCCGAATCGGATCGGAAGCTCGCTCGACGTAGTTTCAATTCGGATTTCACGTCGAAGGCCGATCTCGCGACTCGCGAAAAAAGCGCTAGAAGCGGCCTCAGTAAATCAAAGGCGCTCAAAGCTCGGCGCGCAAAGCGGCCCGATATTTCACCTTGGAGAAGCGCCCGTATTTGCGCCGAACCTCCTTCCGGGCCACGCGTACGTACCCACGGCCCCTTCTTCCTTATCCAGCGCGTCCTTTTCACGTTGCGTTCGCGTTCCGCGGGCCGACGTCGCCGTCGAGTCGAGGCGCCAGCTTCGCCGCGAGAGGCGAGCGCGCGACCCTTCACGGCGACGAATAATAATTGCTACCGCGGCTCGTCGTTACAAATTTAACAGCCGCGCAACGAGGAGACCGCCTCGTCTCGCGCGAAAAGTAAAAGTGCATCCCGCAAATGGCCTTTCTTTTTTCTCTCTCCCCCGGAATATTTCAGTGGCGGTCCGACTCATCAGCTAATGACCGGGCCGTTTTGAAATAATATATATATATATATATGCGGAGAGGCAGTCGGCAGCGGCGTGCCTTCAAATCATGCCACCGAACTTTTTAATCAACATCAATCCAGTCGTGCGCGAGTTTCGAAGGGAGCTAGGCCAAATTACCTGAAATTGGACGTCCGCCGGGGCGAAAACAAGCGATCGAATTCGCGCGCGTGCGCGATGCAATAAAAGCGCACCGCAGGAAACAGGAAGAAGAGCAAAAATGCGCTCGCGCTAATGTAATGAGAGTTTACAGCTTGACAAGTATTGCGAGCGCGGGGCAAGCCTGTAAAGTTCATTGCGACTGGAAAGCTCGCCGGCGCGAAGTGATATCGACTTTCGACGCATTAAAGTTCCAATTTTTATTCGAGCTCCGCGTGGTTTGCTTTACATTTTTCCCCCCTTTGCCAATTACGCGAAAACGCCGTTTAGATATTTCGTCGCGTTAACGAGTAAGCAATTCGCGCGTGTTTCCTTCTCAAAGGTCAAAGGGAGGCGAATCGATCGAGCGAGACGAAAAATAAGGAAAATAAAAATTAGACACTCGGCCTTTTGGCGACCATTCGGGCGCGTTTCGGTTGTTGCCGCCGAAATCACGCGCACTTACCCGACAATCCCGTGCTGTACTGCACTCCGTTCAATACGCCCCTGGCAACCTGATGTGTCTCAAGTTTATAAGTATCCTGAAGCCTCATTAGCGCAACGGCAGCGCCGTGGAGATCCTCCTCGGTCGGGAACTTGAGATTACCGCGCGAGCTGGTAATATTAGCGACGAAAGCTTTGCCGACGTCCTCGGTGATGAGCTCCTCGACGCGGCGCCAGTCTGTGGTCAAACGTTTGACCAGCAGGTAAGCGTTTATTGGATTGGACAGATATTGCTGGATATTGCGCGAGGCTTTCTCGTGCTCGCGCGAGTAATCCTCCACGTTCCTGCAACACACACGCGCGCACACATGAATAAGCACGTCGCGATAACCGTCTTGATTGGGATTACGCCTATTTGTATTTGTTGGGCGCGCAGCTTGAGCCGCGCGGCCGTATGTTTGCGGCGAGCTCGCTCGAATCAAGCTACGCCGGGTTGCGCGTCTCCCTCCTCCTCCTCCTCCCGCCCCTCCCTCTCGCTCGTTAGCGTTTTTCAGGGATCGATTAGACGCTCGACAATCGATTTGCCACCCGAAGGAATGGCAGCGCGCTCGCGGATAGATGTCAGGCGACCAGCAGAGTTCGTCTGTCAGGCCCTGAAAACGCAGGCGACAGAGCGCTGCGTGTCCGCCCATTGGCAATGTGACTCTCACCGGCGTGTGCGGCGTACGCGTTAGATAACGACACCTGCATGACGCGCGTGCATTAGCAGCAATAAACGCGCGCGGCCGAGCGTCACAGATAAAAGGCCTCCCCGCCTGGACGCTCGCTACCCCTCCCACTTTCCCTCCGCCCGAAACTTGTAAATCACGAGTTTACGTTTCATTTGTTCGCCGTTGCGTCGCCGATAGTGCAGCGCTCGCGATCCGGCTCATTAATATTTAATTGTCGCGGCGCCCCATTGGAAAATCGGCCGCCGTCGACCGGTAATTTATCGCGCGCGGGCTCTCTGTTGTGCAGTGCCTAATAGGGGGAGCGAGATACGAGGCTGCGCTACACTCGTTATTCCGACGAAGACGAGGTGGGGTGAGATCAACTTCCGTTTCGGTTTCGCTTACGCGAGGCTATTCTCTTTTGTGCTCCATAATCGATAGTCTGATCATGCTGTAAAGTACGTTTGCGCTTATAGCCGACTAATAATGAAGGTGTTGGAAATCTGTTTGAACGGCCTACGGAAAAAGTGACAGGTTTTTAAATTTCCTGTGGACCGCCGCTATACGTCGTCGCGCTGGGTTAATAAAGTATTCAATGTAGAATAAATCTCAACAGTTCCGTGATCAAAATAAGAATGAACTGCCACCAATTCTAGACACTCGCCAAGTTTCGATTGGCACTCAATACCAAGAGCTTCTTCTTCTTTAAATTCGCGTCAAGTACTAAAAATCAAAAACAAAAGTACGGGCTTCGAGAAAATAAAACAGAAAACTGAAGAAACTAACGACGCAATTACACTGAATGAACCTCGATTGCGATTGGAAAGAGAGAGAGAGAGAGAGAGTGGCGGTGGGGGGAACTGACAACGTGATACCTTTCAATCGAAAAATTGCTTTCTTCGTTCCATTAAGCGTACCAATGAGAAAAAAAAGCGAAAGAGAGAGCGAGAGAGGGCCAAGGTATCAACGTCGATTTGTCGATTTTCTCTCAGCTGCATTCTGTCGCTGCAACTGTCGGCATCAAATTGTCATGTCCCATCAGTGCGGATCTCCGTTTCGTGCAGACACGACTACGAGAGAAAGCCGAATTGAGCAACGAGATGAGCTTTTATTTTTTTGTCTTTTTTACTTTTTTTTTGTGCAGTTGCACACGATGCGTTCGACAGATATTGCAACAGCAGTTTTGCAATGCGCGCGTGTTCAACCCTTTCGGGTTGACGTGCGTTGCCCGCGCGAGTTTCATTTTTTAATTAAAAAACAGTTATCGCGTCGGCGAATCGCGAGCGATATGTTGCCGCAAATGACAATAATTGACATGAATAGCGATGGCTTAATCACAGGCCAAACGTTACGGCCGCGGGTCTGAGAGTCTCTTTCAAACGCTTCGTTGATGTATAATTAGATGCGGCGAGAGACTTTAGATCGCGTCGGATGCGAGTGAGCGCACATTTAAGAGTCATCTGCAAGAAACGACGGAGACGAGAGTAATTCGAAGCAGATACGCCGAAAAAGCGATTTTGGCCGGTATCGGCGCAGCCGTAAAAAACGCGCGATAACGAAGGCGATGGCTAGGCTAATTCGCTCGAGCAGCACGGTCGACACGCGCTGCCTTCCCCTTCTTTTTTTTATAAGCTGTCGCTGCGAGGCTCCATTATTTTAATTAGCACCATCAGCGTTGGAACTCTACTGGGGACGTTATTGCCGATCGAGGCGAACAAAAAAGGGGCGGCGCAGCATCGATATTTGCTTGGCTGGCTTTAGCTGCGATTGCATACGCACAAAAAGCCCCCAGCCGATCGCGTCCTGTGCATTGTTTGGCGAAAGGGGTAGTAAAACCATTAATTCGAATGTACTTCTAGTTTGATCGTCTTGGAAGGACTTGATCATGTATTAAAACTCCAATTAATTCGATTATGGAATACATGCTTTATTTAACAAAGCGGCAGGATAAATCGATTCGATTTCAATAATTCGATTGCGCGATAAAGGACGTGACTATACGCAGAAATAACCGAAATATCTTGAAAGAGTATCTGATCTCCGGATATCGGAGAGAAGAATAATGCATCCACGCTGCGAGCTACTCAATAATTCCCCTCGCCCGCCAGTGATCAAACTGAATATCCACTTATCAAACTGAATTTCCAGTCATAAAAGACGATAACTTTCAAAACTGGTAATCCGTGGGCTAACAATGAGAGACACGCCGGACGAAAATTCGCAACGGGAGGCAAGCGAAACTGCAGATAGAGACAGAGGATAATCGCCGTACGATCGGCTTTTGTCGTTGCAAAAGCCATCTAATTCGTTACGCGAGTTAACGACTACGACTATTTTTCGTCTTTTTTTTTGGAAGCCCAGCCCGAAAAAAAATCCTAACCCGTCCTAGCTGGCTTTAATCCGAATATTTTCGCGCGCGGCGATATCCTCTCGTTCACTTTTATCGGCCAATAGGGGACTTTTTTGTGAGCGCTGAAAAATATCATATTTGACGTTTCTCTCTCTCTCTTTTTATCCGTGACAATCGTGAACGATCGAGCCTTAAATTATTTATTTCACTCGGATGGAGTTTCAAGTCGCTACCTGTTTTTGTAAGACTCGCAGCCGCGACTCATGAATGTTGCATTAGCTACGCTGAGAACGTAATGCGAAAAGCTTGAATCTTTCAAATTTTTTTAGCTGCCGCGACTTTTTCTTATAGGCGCAATGTGAATGAAAAACGATCCTTTTATTCTATTACTGTTTTTTTTTAAGTATCGTTAGATGAAAAGAATAAGATTTTTCGACGGAACTTTCATTTTGAATGTTGCTGTAGTCGAAGGTTTAAAGGAAAAATTCGAGCAACAAGTGAAACGAATAAAATATTTTGCAGTTTCTGTTAGATAGGAATTTGTCTATATAATACAGAATGCTTTAAAGCTTATATTTTCAGAATTGGAATTAATGGATTTGTTATCATTTCTGTTGAAACTGATATTCAAATCGACATATTACATCAAATAGACACAATCAGCATTTCATAGATAAATACCAGCACTGGAATTCATAGAGATTGCAATATATATTATTCCGATTACTGCAAAAAACCGTTGCTTTATTATTGATTTATAATAATATTTTAATAAGCGCAAACAAAACTCGTCGTAATTTAAGTCATTTGACAGTCGACCAATCCAATTTATTTCGAACACACTTTATCTCATAAAATCTCCCTTATCCCTTAGAACATAACCACGCATAATTCAGGCCACCTCGCTGTGTGAAAAAAGCCAGGCAACCAATCCAATGACTATAAACTTGGAAATCCGTGGTTGGTTTGAATCTCTCAATGGAAAAAAAGCGCACATACAAAAATCCGTCCCCTTTTTAACTCCATTAACCAACTTTTGCTTTTTACGACCGCAGCTGTTTATTTACATGCACGCTCCTCTCAATTCATTTAAAAAAAAATTCGGTGGCTTTTTTTTTCTTTTAAGAGCAATAGAGGCAACGAAAAAATGGACAGTCTCTAAATAATAAAAAAGGGTAGTAGAGAACGTGACGAGACGAGGAAGAATGGTCGAGACTCGATAATCTACGGCGATTCAGTCGACGTACGAACACTGCATTTCCTATCTCTCGGCGTTATAACCTCTTTCTCGAAGGCCTTTCTTCTCTTTTTTTTTTAAATCGTTCACCTTATCGCTTTACCGTGAGAGAATGGAAGGAAGATGTATCTTTGAAGGTGAGAGGCTCCAAAGTTACCTGTGTGGAAGGAGTAGGAAAGGAAAAAGATTGAAAAATGTATCGCAATCATAAGGATGCGATGCTGCGATTTTCGTGGTACTTCGGCAATTTAAGGTTTGTTACCTTTTTACGCGAAACTCTTTTGTTCTCCGAATCCGAAGATATCGACGGATAGTGGATAAACTGGTGCGTTTTACGAGGGAAAAATACAGAAATGATATGACTGTACAAGGATGCACGGAATCGTTCCGCGGGTACTTTCGCGTTGGAGTAGTCGAAACACGTTTCGGTCAGCCGCGCGTCATACCAAGCATCTCGCGATTCCGATACGGTCGAGAAGAAGCCGAAGTGCAAGTGAACGTTATATTCGGCAATAGCAACTGCACGCAATCGACTGCGTCGCTTGTGCTCTAATCATTTTCTGTTCGTCTCGTCTTTTCGGTGGCCGGTGTCGATGAACGTTTCGGCACTAGCGGGCTATCGCGTTCTGCTCGGCTGCGCTATCGTCACTGGGGGAGGGAGAGTCGCGTGGGTTAAATCAAGATTTAATCGAATAATTCGCCGGGGCTCTAATGGCGTGTGGTAATCCGGATTAAGGTAGAGGCCGCTCGTCAGAGACCATTGCTCATACGTACAAATGGATGTTGCGGCGAGCCCTCCTTGCGATAAAGACAGTCGAGCGATTGTGTCGTCTTTCCGTTTTGCGCATTTACATAATGTGGAAAGCGATCGATCGATTGCTTCTCTCAAAGCTTGCCATTTTACCCCCGGCGCTCGTTCGACAAACTAATTATTCGGGAATGACATATCGAAATAATCAGCACCAGCGAGGACGCGTAGCGAAAAAGGTCGTGCAGCGAAACACTGGAGCCCATCCAAAGGCTGATAAGTAGCGAACAAGCAATTAAT